ATGGCATCGCATTCTTGTTCATCTCATTATTATTGATATTGTTGGGGCTCCGAATATAAAGGCCAACGGAATCCCATCCGAAGCGGTCGAAACAAGTATAACACATAGTACCCCAAACAGTATAACAGTATACATATATACACATGCATATGTACTTATGTGTATATACAATGTAAATACATACATATGTATAGTAGAGGAAGAGATTATTGGTGCTATGCTTTTGTTGTTCGTGTAGTTGCTACCGATAATAATTTACATAATTTTTATTTATTTTTGGCTTTCGTTGTGTCGTTGTGCCCCGGCTTCTCCTAATTAGCATCAAAATCTATGGGAAAAAGAGAGAGAGAGGGGAAGTCCGCTTCTTATCGGCCGCTCCTTCTCCCTCCCTTTCCATCACCTCCTCAAAATTTGTACATATTTCTTCGGCTCTTATCAGAAGACATATGTACATATGTTTCGTATTTTTTTGGTTTTGTTTTATTTCGTTTTGTTGTTCCCGTCTGCATTGCAGTGCCACTTTGGAACTTGTAATTAGTGTCGAAGAAAATAGAAGTAATAAAAGGGAAAAACAAATGAGATAACGCAACAGATCGTTTGGCTAGAAACAAAAGAGCCGATCCTAAAAATAGACATTTTCCCCATGACTAGCTTCAAAATTTTGAACACACAATGTAACCTTTTTCTGTCAGTGCATAAAGCAGTAGCAGCCAGACAGAGCACCAGCCACAGCCACAGCAAGTGAAGTGCGAGGTGCATACAAAATAATGAAATCGAAAACGAACGGCCTGCAAAAATGCAACACACAAATGGCATTAATGCAGCTTACACTAACTAACACAGGCACACCACTCTTCTAGGCACACGCATTTACAGACACCCAGAAAGAGAGAGAGAGAGAGAGACAGAGACGCACCGACCGACCGACCGACCCGTTTGATCGCTTTATCAGCTGAGCTCGAGCAGAGCAGCACCCGCATTGCATTGCAATGCAAGTATCAAGAAGTGGATAAAGAGAGAGAGAGAGAGAGAGAGAGAGTGAGGTGGGAGCGGTGGGAGAGAGACCAGTTCGATCGACATCGACCGACTAACCCAACAGAGTGTGGTGCATGTTTGTGTGTGTTTTCTGTGCCCTTCTAAAAAAGCCCCAATGCACGAAACTCACTCAAACACAATCCCACTCGGCTCAAGAGCAGCTGCGCCACTGTGACGTCAGAAAAGCTTTTATCATTTGGTTGTGGGGAGAGTGGTGGGGAGCCAAGCCCGAACCGAACCACTCACTCGCGAATATTCTAAGCAGACCGCAGCGGCAGCGGCAGCGACCAGCCACAGCGACAGAGCCATGGCCGAGCAGAGTCGTCAATTCATTTTATTATTTTATTCCATTTCGAACGCGCAACCCAACGGACGCCTCTCGGCTAGAGTGCGGCGCCCCAATCAAGAAATATTCATAGAAAAGAGAGATATACCATATACGAGTAGAGCGAAAGAGATACCAAAAAGTCAAATATTCGAATGAAATAAACAGTGTACAAAGAGTGTGTAGTGTGCCAAAAGTGAAGTGAAGAAGTGAACGACGACTATTTCCAATTGTGATTCCGAAATAAACGATTTGCGAAACAAAATTGACATCCAAAGTCGAGGCAGACCGTACCAAAGGCAGCCCGCTGTCATCGCATCCATACGTTCGTTGTACGTAGGGCTACACAGATACCGTTAGTCCGAGGAGAAGACGTAGTCGCGTTTTGTAGGCGCCAATCGGGCACCCGTTTCACCCTACCCCCCGGTCGCCTTTGTCAGCACTTTTCCGCCGCCAAGCGCCTGTTCTCCTCCTCAATGGTTAGGCCGATGCCGATGCTGTTACTGTGCTAAAACAGAATCCACACGGAATCCAAATTCGTTTTTGCGTTACATTTTTCTGCACTGTCGGTACGTAGAAAAAAAAAAACACACACACACACTTGAAAATATAGCCCCCAAAACATGTGTATTACTTGTAAGAAGATCTGTGAGTGTATTGAAGCTTTGAGTAGACTTCGAGTGGAGTTTGCAGAGACTTTCTTTCAAATGAGGCAGGAGGGGAGAAAGATAAAGATAAATGGAAGAAAAACAACGATTTTCACTTTTATTTGAGACCAGTCCCTCACCGCCCTCCCCGCCCGTCTAGGCCAACTAGACACACAGCTACCGCAGCCCGTACACAGATATATACATACATACATACATACATTCATATGTACGTGTTGCACCTGTTTGCATGTTGCTGTTGAGGTTTTTGGCCAACAGTTGCGGCCAACACAAATACAGTTATGATAGTAAATCACAGAGATAATTAATTTGTGGTTAGCCCTCCTCCTTCTGTAACTTGTATTCAGTTATGTATATTTAAACGATAGATACATAGTTCTAGTACAAAGAGACCACAACATTCATGATTGAAAAAATCCCAAAGAAAGTGACTGGCAAAGCAATAAACAACAATTTCCGAAATTTGTTTAAACAATTTGATGGCCGAAAAATAGTGTTAATTCAATCTCAAGCGAATTATCAGATTAAAGAGAAAGTAAGTCCACAGGTAGGGCAAAATCAACTGGAAAAACCCTTCAAGGGCAAATTCTTTGCAAGCCTTTTTTTATTGCTTCATGAAAATATGCAGTAGACAATTACAATAAATACACGACAGGCTCAATTTGTGTTGTGTGGCGACGACGTCAATAGCAATTAATAAATAAATAATTGCCAAAGAAAAGTACAAAACAAACAAAAACAATCAAAGTATAGATCGATATTCCATTCCGACTAGCAGATACCCACCCGCTACTCGGATGTATGTATGTATTTCTTGTTCATAGAGAATAAATAGATTTACATACATATGTATGTGCTTATGTATGTACATATGTCCCAAATTGAAATGGAAAATGTGTAAATTATCCTTCTGCTAAATATCTGTACAGACATAAATATGTACATACATATGAGCGTACATATGTATGTACATACATTGACCTTCTCAAATACAGCATACCCTTGCTCTCTACAAATACCCCGTATAATAAAAACAAATACGAAAGAACCTAAAGAGTTAACTGGAACTGAGTGAATAATAATGCTCTCAACTCGACCCATCAGCGGGTGCCCCGAATGTGAACCCAGCCACGCGGCAGTTCTCATATGGAGATGCAAAGCGAGCAGAACGAACACCTCCCACCCACTCCACACCACACCCACACTGTACTGAACCGAACCCGGACCCAGAAAGACAATTTTAGTTGGTTACATTACTAAATTCACACGCAAACTAAGCACAAATTAATGGCACCCGTAGTCGCAGTCGTAGTCGCAGTCGTTGTCGTTGTCGCAGTGGTGGTGCGGTCTTGGATCGTGGCTTCAAGTCTGAGCTTTGCTGCTGTTTTGTTCTCCGTTTGCCTGTGAATGATATTTTGCTGTACAAAAGCTTTTTGCAAATAAATTTGCATGCGATTTGTGCAAATCGTCCGGCCGGGTCGAGCTACGACGCACACCGCGCACCACACACCGCACACCGCACACCAGGTCCGGTCCGGGTTTAACTAAGTTATTTAGACTGTGAATCATGCGATAGGACGACGCAAAGAATCTATTTGAATTGTATTATGGCACTCTGGTCCAAGTGCCTCATTGGTCTGCCTGCCTCAACCTCAACCCGTTTTCACCCGCTGCCTCTAACTGCTCCATCCCTCCCCTGCTGAATGTGTGTGTTTAGTGTATAGTATATATACGAGTACACGGTCGGGTCGGAAGCCAGTTATGATAGAAAATTTAATTTTTACAGTGAACGGCACAAACAAAATGATAAAAAAAAATACAGAAAGAAAGAACCTAAAGCAGATAAAACTTATACAAGAGATAGAGCTAAACGATATAATAGCCCCACAAACACACACACACAGTCACACATACATACGTATGTATAACAGTAGCACAAAAACAGAAGGCGAAAATTATAGAAGTGGATAATGGGGGAAAGAGGCATTAGGAATGAATACCCTCCCTCTCGACTCTGCTCCAATCCCATCATTCTGCCGCTGCTCTTCGATATTCTGTCACGATAACAACGCGGAACTTTCGAGTCGATCTGATCCGAACCGATACGTGCAGAGCCAAAAACAAAAAATTATTGTTGTTGTTTTTTTTTCGATTAAAATAAGCAATAAATAGAACAGAATTTAATGTTTAGCGCAGCGCGTAGGCTGCACTCATGCATACACACACACATGACAGAGAGCAGCCAGCGCACAAACAAAACAACAACGACACTGAAAACGAATTTAACAAATTTAAAGCAAATTAATTAATTAAAAGAAGCCCCCAGGCGGCACATTTGGCATTGGCTAGATAATGTACATACATATATAAAATGGCAGAAAACAAAAAATAAAGAAATAAAACAGCAGTGACAAAAAAATAATAAAAATAAAATAGTCATCGGCAATGGGATGATGATGATGATGATAATGATAATGAAAGAAGCAGACCATTTATAGAGGGATAAATATATGCAAACTGTATACGTATGTATGTATATTTATGTATGAGAGAGCTTCTAAGCAACGGTAGTTGATAGACAAAAGCTTTACCTCAGCGAAGAGCGAAAACAACAAATGATCGACTCGACCAAAAGAATTCACAAAATGATTTCCATTGGAAAACTCCAGAAAGCCTTTAGGACACACTCAAGCATGAGTTTAGTTCAGAGTTTTTTCCAGGACTTGCTCTGCTCTTAAACAAAATACCAGACACAAATCGAACTGAACCTAAACTATAGGCAGATTCGTCTCCTAATACTAAATTTGGCTTTGAGTTTAAGGCGTCAATCGAAAGCAAATATAAAATAGAATATTGAATATACAATCTAGAATACGAGTTTATGCAATATTTGATATAGGCCATGCAAGATTTTTTTTCTTTTTCGTTCTGTAACTGACATTCTCGTGCGTTTATTTATCTTTCGTTTGCAGTGCGGGACACTAGACGGAGCCGAACAGGTATATCATCAGCAGCGCAGCAACAGAATGGACGTCTACCAGATTGACGATGGATTCCACTCAGATGGCGGCACCGAGACACCGCCTCCGTCGCCCAGCTCGGGCTCTTCGATAGCCTCGACCTCGGATCATGGGTCGCTGGAGAGCGTGGACACCGGGGGAACACAGCGCCTGGCCGTCCTCTCGTTCGAGCAGGTGAGCAAGCTGCACGACGTGATGGACGAGAAGGTGGCCATACATGGACGCGGCAACTTTCCCACTCTGGAGGTGACGCTCAAGGACCTGGTCAACCTGGTGCGTCGCAAGCTGGAGGCGGAGGTGAACGCCGGCGGTGCCGGAGTCTTAGTTAAGGACATCCGCCTGAACGGTGGGGCAGCTAGTCATGTTTTAGCCAGCGAGGATCAGCCATACAATGACCTGGACCTGATATTTGCCATCGAGCTGAGTACGCCGCGCATCTTCGACCGGGTGAAGGTGGCTGTGCTCAACACACTGCTCGACCTGATGCCCGAGGGCGTCTGCAAGCGGCGCATCTACACGTGCTCCCTCAAGGAGGCCTATGTCGGCAAGATGGTCAAGGTTAACAACAACAATGACGGCGACCGCTGGTCCCTCATCTCGCTGGGCAACTCGCCGGGCCACAAAAATGTGGAGCTGAAGTTCGTCGATTCGATGCGGCGCCAGTTCGAGTTCTCCGTGGACTCGTTCCAGATCGTGCTCGACTCGCTGCTCCTGTTCTACGACTGTGCCGCCCTTCCCATCTCCGAGAACTTCTACCCGACGGTGGTGGGCGAGTCCGTGTATGGAGACTTCCAGGAGGCGCTCTACCACTTGCAGAAGAAACTGATCTCAACGCGCCAGCCAGAGGAGATCCGCGGCGGCGGCCTGCTCAAATACTGCAACCTTTTGGTGCGCAACTACAAGGCCGTCGACTCGCAGCTGATCAAGACATTGGAGCGGTACATGTGCTCGCGCTTCTTCATCGATTTCCCGGACATCAACACGCAGACCACAAAGCTGGAGGCCTACTTGCGCAATCACTTCTGGGGCGTCGACGAGGAGCCCCTCCAGTATCAGTACCTGATGCATTTACGCGAGGTGGTCGAGATGTCGACGGTCTGCCTGATGAGCCACGAGCGGCGACAGACGCTGCACCTCATCCAGTCGCTGGCCGCCCAGGTTCTCTACAACAAGCAGGAGAAGCAGCAACAGCAGGCCCAGGAGCAGTACCAGCAGCACCAACAGCGGCAGCAACAGTTCCTGGACTCTGCGCAGCAGCAGCAGCAACAGACACAAGCGGCGCAGCAGGGCACAACGCTCACCCTGGTCTCACAGTCGCCGCAGTCGGCACAGGGACAGACCATATACGTGCAGCAGGCGGCCCCGCCCACGGTCTGCTGCACAAGCAGCAGCGATCAGTCCGCGGCAGCAGGCCCACAGACCATCCAGACCATCCATCCGGGCCTCATCTATGCCAACGGCGTCTACTATGCACCTGTGATTCCCAGCACCATTTGCACGTGCAACTCCACCTGGCTGAGCACGTGATTGGGGCAGCAAACCCAACAACACCAGCACCAGAAGCAGCAACAAAAGCATCATTGGTCAGAGAATGCATCGGGATCAACAACAACAACAACATCGCTCTTGGCTGAAACTAAACTAATACCTAAAGCACCATTACCAACCCCATCTCCATCGTCCCCGCTCCCACCAAGCATCCAGATCCAGATCCCGACTAACAACAGCAAGGGGAACAACTCAACTATAGATAAAGAGGGATGCCTGAAGACACCAACCACAACCATGACAGGGATGGATAAGCCCATCAACGAGTCGCAGGATACAACAGCAGCAGCAACAACAGAAGCAGTAGGAGGAGGCGGAATGACAGGCATATTGGTAGTCACCACGGAGCAGATTGTAGGTGTACCCGTCTACAGCCGGGAGGATAGCAAGGAGACGGGCACCTACAGCGGACAGTTTGCCTTCTTCTATCCCCACGATGGATCGCCGCCCAGTATGCTGCTGCTTGGCGAGAACACCTATCTGAATGTAACCGAACATCAGGACTAGGAGCACGATCTAGAGCATTTTTCTAAGCGAAGGTGCAGGGCAACCGGTTTTCCTTCATCTCTGTGCCCTTATATCTATATCTGTACTACCCACTGTTCCCTTCTTATTCACACTCACCACAAAACAAAAAATTATCCTTTTTCAGACTGAAGTCTAGCCGCTGTTAGATGTTAATCAGGGCCACAAAAAAAACTATTAAAAAAAAAAACAACAAAAAAAAGGCTATAATATCGTAAAAAAAAACACAAAAAAATATGTTTGGATCTATATAGAGAAATTTCGTAACTATTTTGTTTTCCTTATTTCCCGCTTTCATTCATTTTCTTTACTTATTCCTCTTTTTTTTTTTTGAATAAAACAATAGAAAAACCCGAATTTGAATTGGAATTTCTATGTACGGCCCACATCATGCCCCTCCCCCACACGCCCATAAATTTTGAATAGACAAACACTTACAGACATAAAGTACATATAAATATATATAGCCTGTTATTTGTACGATTAAATTGAATGACTTTTTGTATGACAAGTGCAGGAGGAGTGCAGGAGGAGTGTCGTCGGTTCCAGTCCAGTAGAAATTCCAAGCAAAAGGTCCAAGTGCAGGCAAAACAACGATGATATGATGAAACAAGTGATGAGATAATATGTAAATATTAGTCAAATTGAACTGTCGATTTCAGAAAGGGAGAATGATAATGATAATGATGAGAATGATGACTGGGATGAGATATAAGAGAAGGAGATGATGTATTTAACAGACGGATGCTCATCAGCATCAAAAGAATTTGCTCAATGAAATTCAATTCACAAAAATTAATCAATAACCAATACTGTAATCAAAAATCAAACGTAAATCAACAAAAAGAAAATCTCTAAACAGATGAGAATGAGAAAAGAAATATAGAATGTCTGGAAAGAATGTCATATTTTGTAGTATATTTTTTGCAGTGTGTGTCAGGCAGCAGCAGCAGCATATGTGAGTGAGTTGAGTGATTGATTGATTGATTGAAGTATGCTATGAGAGAAGCGGTTAATTTCAGATGGGTGATAATTTATGAATGATTAACTGATATTCATACATACATATATAAAATATATACACAAAAAAATATGCTGTCAATAGGCAACTATTTATATCTTTTGAATGCTAAAAACAACAAACTTTCTGATCTATGTGTATTGTTTTCTTTTGCAATTGCAAACCATATAAATCATATGACTAAAATATGTAGAAGCAAGCATACATATGTTTATCTATATATGTAATTGTGTATATTTATATCCACAACAAATGAAAGACAACAAATGGTCCACAAAACAATATGAATCGATATTCGAGTATGCTCGATTGTTCGGATTCGATGACGATTACGATGTTTCCTCTCTGTGTGCATTCTTCGATAACTCTGAGAATTGCTACCACTTACGCACTTTTTGTATAATGTTAACCCTGAACTTGTGTTTTGAATTTATGTATTAACTTTAGTTTAGACATTGTGACATAATGTACGATGTACGCTGTATGTATGTGTATATATCCGGATTATCTATATGCATATTCGACAAGGTCCAAAGCCAACGTATTCCAATTTGCATGCTGTTCGAGCTGCATCGGAGGGGACTGCATCGTCGTCTCCTTTACCAGCGAACAGCCTGCAAGACATTTTACTTAGTGCAAACTTTAAAGCAAGAATAACTGAAACTAAAACTTAAACTGAATGCAAAAACTAAACCAAAAAAACACAACAAAAAAAAGAATATGCAACAGGAAAATTATGACAAATTTGTCAGCTGCAAATGAAAAAGTTTTATTATTTTTTTTTTATTTCGGGTCCCATAGCTAATGCTGCCTGGGCTGGGCGGATTGTGTCTTTACATAAAATACCATACAATACCATACAATATATAGATATATACACATATATATTATTTAGATATATGTTAGTTGGATAAGCCTGTAGAGAAGTGGACATTTTTGAAATATCTCTAGCGCGTAATCTTACATTTATACATCTACAATACAGATAAAGATCCAGATACAGAGACCAGATATAATTGTAAATTCAAGCAAATCAATCCATTGAGATTTGTATATAATATATACTTAATTACGTATATCTAATTATTATACCAACCTACACACACCACCCCCCCAAAACACTCACACACCACACATACACACAATATATATATATATATTACTTACATATTACATTAAATATATAAATGATAATAATAATGTATCTATATCTATACAATATACAACAATTACCATACATATTACTTCTGTGCGCTTCTTGCGATCTAAGGAATTTCAATAAAAACAATCAAAAATACCTAAAAAGTATAAAAACCGCGAAAATTACCACAAAAAAAATAAGCAAAAAAAAACAAAAAATATAAATCTATTCAGGCATTTCTTAATCCAGGGTTTGGAATGGGAATGGGGATCTGTATGGGGATGGGGAGGCGCCATCGTAGAAGGCTCCAAGCGTATAGTGGCCACATCACATCTATAACCAGTTGGCCATTCCATCGGGCAAGCCGACTGTTTCCTCCTTTCCAATTTCATGGCGGCAAACAGCTGCAGATTATGAGAGTGGACACACAGGCACAGTCAGGGACTCGGACTCAGACCCAGCCTCAACCTCGACTTTAGCTGCATCTTCATCTCCAGCTGTTTCGCTTTCGCCTGTGCTGCTGGCTTCACGTTCGTTTTACAATTTAATTCGCATGTGTTTTTTTTTTTTTTGGATTTTATTTCAAGTAATTGTATAATGTCGTAGCATCGTCCAGTCTCCGTGTTACGACCCGCACCAGTCTATGGAGTTTTTGATAAGTGGAAAATATGACAAACACACAAAGCCGCAGGGGAATGATATCGAATGCTATGCGGCAGCGTCTTTTTGTGCTTATATCTTGTATCATTGATGATTTATGCATTTTGATTAAGTTGTTTATGGCCAAAAGAGTTTTTCGCGTGCCTCGAAAGATACTTAACACTCCGAAAATAGATAGCGAGTCTATGCGGAGTCTATGGGTGGAGACAGCGACAGCCAAATGGGTGTTTTTTGAAAATATTTAAGCAGCCGGACTTAAAGTGCACAAGTCATAGTATAGATTATTGTACTATAATTTATGCGCAGAATATATGCATTTATAGTATTCAAATTCAAATTGAGCGCGGCAGCTTCGCGCGTTCGAGATTTTTAGAGTTTCATGGCAGCAAGCTTGTGTCAGATACATACGTCAATAACACAGCACTGCCGTACCGATAAATTAATAAGAGAAAAAGATAAGCTTTGCCAATAGATAATATAACTAAATAGTAAAAACGTTGGAATGCAACGAAGTCATTATTAATGTCATAATTAATCAAGCAGCTTGATAAACAGAATTGTAGCATTAATTAAAGGAAATAGGGTATACAAATGTCCATACTTCCGCTTGACAAGCAACAAGTGTTCAAATGACGTAACATTCTGAAAACACTTACGTTCTGTGCATCTATTTTTGACCTTTTCTGTTTGAACCTTATTTTGTGAATAATAATAAAAAAGGGAGTTCTTTCAAATAGACAATCAAATAGGAAACTGATTCATATATCGGATAAAATAATATGTTAAGAGATGAGAGTCCTAACTAGCTAGAAAAATTACAACGAATATCAAAATCGAGGAATATGATTTCCGAGTATGGACAGAGAACGATTAACCCATTGCCGACCAGTTCAGGTAAATGATATCCTTGCCATTTGTTTTGGATGGATCTACAATGTAGAGCATAGAGATTTAACATGAAGAATTTATAAATAGTATTATTGTTTGCGATTTAACTCAAGTTATACAGTTTTTTAAGGGTGGGCTAAGTGAGTTAAGTTCGTTCACTCTCTCATATTTTATGGTATATTTAATGAATTTGTTGGTATATTACGGTATATTTCTGAGGTACAGATGGGTATATTTGAAAGTTTAATCTGCGGTTACACTATAAATTGTGTTGTGGGGGCTCGAAATTATCCCCGTTGGAGCCCAGAAACTTGCAAACACAGACTACGCGAAGTGCACGAAGTGGATAGAGTGGTGTGGCAAAAGTGAAAGAGAAAATAAAAAACACGGCAAACGTAACGCAACAAAGCAATAAAAGAGTGTTCTGAGTGCCCCGTATCTGCTATTGGAGCTCGAGTTTTATTCATTGATCAACAAAAAGAGTGCGTAAATGTAAATCCGTTTTGACTGCAAATACTCACAGAGACACACACACTTACACAGCGTCACAGACACACACTCAGCGTTACTTGTGCATACATACAGAGTTACATACAGACAGAGTTACCTGAAGCACCGCCGCGCCTACCACCAACTACCGCGTTTTCTTTTATCTCTTACTCCCCGCCACCCCCTGTGTCAGCTCACCCGTTTACACACGCGAGTAAGTGGGTGTCCATGTGTGTATGGAAGCGTGTGTGTGTGTGCATTACTTACGGTGTTTTCATTTAGAAAAAGTTGTGTGTGCATTTTTGAAAACGAGGCCAACAACGGTACTACAGGCCACCTTTCGATTCTTGAGAAGTTATACAAAGGTACTAGCCGGATTATACAATGCCCTCAGTATTTTGATTCTTATTCGAAATGGGCAAAATGCGTTGGCGGAAAAGGGGGTTTACTATATAAATACACAAACCCCCGCGCACACACAGACACAGCCACGCGCACACACTCTCAATTCCATGGATGCGGAGGGTATCCGTAGCCGAAAGAGGGGAAAAAAAAGATACAATAACCTTCAAGAGCGGGGCTTGTGCAACTTCCAGTTGTGCCACCAGAGCGAGAAACAGCAACAGCAGGGAAAGCTCGGGGGCTGGGCAGGCAGAGCAGTACTAATTATTTATGATTTCGGTTGATTAGTGAGTTGTCTCTGAACTCCCCAAGCAGACATTTTCCGCCATGTCTTTTCAGTGGTGGCAGGTTTATTTACGAACTCCGGTTACGAGGAAAAGTGTAGATACCCCTTTCTGTGCCCCTGTCCCCGCCCCGCTGACAATACCATGTGTACGTGCTGCATCATGGGCATCGAATGCATTAGAAATTTATACGCAAATACATAAATAAGCGAGTGGCAAACCATTTGAATGAACAAACCCCAGCTCAGAATCGAACCGAACCATAACCATACCCTCCCCAGCCTTGATTCAGCTGGTTTTTAGCCTTCTCTAAGCCCGTGAGTTTTCCTTGGAATTCTCTGTTCTGAATATCAAATATGACTGCAGTAAACCACACACACACCCCCCCAATCCCACCCTCCCTGCCATCATTCAGCCAACGATTGCCTGACCTTTGGACTGACCCATGCCTTGCAGCCATCAATCCGGTTAGCTCAGATTCACCTTCGATACAAAACTGCAGCTGTGGCAAGGAGACGGTAAATCCAATCCCCACAGGTCTGACGGTTAATTGCAGCCACAGCCAATCAGCCGTAGCCCCCCACACATGTCCTTCCACCTGTTCCGGCTCTGAAACTCTGTAGCTCAATTATCAAATTGTTTTGAAATTGCTTGCAGACCAACGCAATTACAGTGGTCCAAAACGATAGTGGACGGTGCGCAATTATAATGCCAGGGTTTGCATGAATATTTAGTTGGAATTGGTGATTAACACTTTGAATAATTATTTATTCGATTACCATTACGATAAATATCATAAGCTGGTAACAGTTGTGCTCTTGCCAGATCTACTGTGAAGGTGGAAAAAGTCGTCGAGCCATTCAACACACTCTGACGGTTAGGTGGTACAGCAAAGAATACTTTTGTATCCGTAATAAACACGAAAATTTGCACATATGTATCTGTCCCACTGTGCCCCTTTGGTCTTTCCCCTACCAACTGTTATTCATTATGAGAAACGTTTTAGCATTGGCCTGTGCATAGAATACGAGTGTGTGGCATTTCCTTAATAGAATTGTAATTTCCCCAACAATTCCGAGTAATAACGGATCTATCGTACAGGCAGGCAGGCAGGCAGTCAGGCAGTTTATTGGGGTCATTGGAGTTGGCCAAGCAGAGCAGAAAGTTACTGGTTTATTCGTACCACATTCATTTAATGCTTCGGCAGTGACATTATATAAATGCACTCGCCCGGTGGGTGCTTAGGGGTACTTTACCAAATTATAATTAACATTTGCCTGTCGACAATTTGACACAATTTAGTGGGAGATAATGCCTAGAAAATTGCAGCAATTTAATGTTAACAATGGCTAGGGAAATGAATCTCAAATTGGTTTCAGTGCGAGCAAGTATTGCAGTCGTTAGAGTACGACTATCTGCTAGAACAACGCCACTCAGGTGACGTCAGGTTTTTTGTCTCTGCCCCGCTGTTGTTGGGCTTGAGAATCGCTTGGGCTAATGATTGGAACGCGCTGCGAAGAGCATTACAAAGCCAAACATGGGCCTCGTCGAGGCCATGCCCCGCCTATGACGCATCCGAAATAAATATAAACAACAAATATTTGGCTGGCGCTGACTTTCCGTTGCTGAATTTCAAAGATACACAAATCGTTGGCGGACCGCTTCCCGGCTGGTACTACTGCGCTGCTAGTATACGACTTGGCTCTGGGTTTGTCCCGGGGCCGGAGATCACAGAAAGCAAAGGACAATGACAATGCCAACAACCTGCCCATACATGGCGTATACTTAATTTGTCAGAGTCTCTTGCTCCGTTTCGGTTCGTGCCAAGCGCAGCCCCATTGGATTGTTGTCACTTCCACTGCCACTGCTACGGGTGCCGTTACTGCCACAGTCCCTGTCCCAGTCCTGCCCCTCTGCTGTAGTTTAACATGCCCCACGACGGCAACAAAAGCAAAGTTTTTTTTGTTATTGTCTGTTCTCGTTGTTATTTTGGAACATATCCAGCCAGAACAGGTCGGCTCGGCTCGGCTCGGGCCTTGGCATGTGGGCGACAATTTCGCATTTATTATGCAACAGTTTGGCGGATTGAGCGTGTAGCGTAAACAAAGTTTGTGCCAGCTTTTCTTTCCCAAATAAGAACGGAACGGAACGGGTCGAAGGGAGCAAGGGTAGAGAGCACGATGAATACATATACAGATCATGATCGACAGGGGAATACTCTCGCAAAAGCTGTATCATTTAATGGGTCTCCTAAAATTGATCTCTTTGATAGTCATACTTCAGCATAATGAACATTCATATTGTTCGATCCATCCCTATCCAATATTTATTTGTTTGCCACAATTTGTTGCACATTTGCAGCGATTTTCATTCCCCTGCATCGACATTTACACTTGACTTGACTTCCGCCTGCAACTTTTTCCAACAGTTTCAAAATCTACTTATCTTTCTCTTCCTCTCTCTCTCTCTCTCTTGGGAGTGATGGGCAGTATGGTGGGAGGGGGAAGGAGTAAGTCAGCAATCATGTCATGCAGCACAGTTGAGCAAATGTAATTGACTCGGGCACGCCAACTGGAAAGACGAATCAGAGCCAAGGAAACACATGCCACCCTTTGGACTCCAGCCAGAGCCACAGTCCAGTGACGAAGGGAGGTGGGGTGGTGGCACTGGCACTGGCAGTGGCAGTGGCAGGTCCCGCTGTGATTGCTCACATTGAATGCAATCAAAGAAGTAACTGCGAATCAAGTTATCGGTCAGGGAGGCAGGAAGTCAAGCGTGGTCCCGGTTACCGTACTCGTCCTCGGCTTGCCACCACAGCAGCCACAAGCTGCAGCTTAACTGGAATCTCATTGCAGCAGCAAAGGGCAACTTTTAGCTTGTTTGTGTGCTGCTTCCTGATAAACCAGTGGGAGAGAGAGAGCACGGAGCGTGGGGCACTGTGACTGTGACTGTGGTATGCGCGCTAATCAAACCAGTCCAACCCAGTGAAGGCGTCATTTGCCTCTCGTTTGGTTCCAGGCACAACAACCATATCATCATCATTATCAACAGCTGCTCGCAGCGTAGTTAACGGCTACGTAAACAATCTGGACAGTATTTGTCAATTTTGATTGCCGGTTAGACCTGTTGGACCCGTATACAGGGTGCCTGTACATGTACCTATACCTGTGTCTGTGTGCCGCCCCCACTTGCAATGCCTATTAAATGAATGAATGTCAGCAACCGATCACGTAAGCCTCCTCAAGGGGAGTCACTACTAGGGGAACGTTATTTACTACTATGTATTTACACTTAGCGATAATAATTTAAATTCCATTTAAATGATCCCCTACCACAGTACTTCCAATCTCGTAGATTACAAGTGTTTGATCAATCCGAACCCACAAAGACCTCAAGATATAGCGCGTGTGTGTATGTAGACCCGTTGTTCGGGAAATACTATATTTAGACTTGGGTGATGCTTACGCTGATTACACATTGTTTCCACGCCACTTGCTGCACCCACAATTTAATATATATAATTATGCATTTGCTCATATTCGATTATTCAATTATATTTTTCAAGCATTATCCGATACATGATTACGTCTACTCCAGGGATTTTCTCTGATCAACTGTCATCACTTGGCCCACTTACTCACGTTGTAATCCATCCATCCATCGTGTTCATATCTGCGAATATCGGGCATTCCCTTGAAATCTTTAATGTTTAAACAAGTGCGAACAGCCTCAGTTTGGGATGTGGAAAGTTTTTCATTGTTTTTGTGCCCTGTGCGAGGCACGACACCTCCTCTTATCACACAGAGCCACTCGACACAAATCCGTAACAATGACTGGCACTGACACCTGCCATTCCACCGTTCCCACCCAGCCACTCTCTATAGAATGTCATGTCCCCCTCTTGTGCATATGGGAGTGGATTGAAAGGATGTTTGGTTGCCCATGCACATGCACCACGCCTCTGCAGTTGGTTTCACTTTTGGCCACCTCTGTGGGTCCTCGTGGGTCCTCTGTTGGTGTTTGCCTGGCCAAAAAGGGCAAAGGTAGGCGATGCTACACGCCCACAGACCCAGCATCCGATATGGCAATTAAGAGCGCAGCTGCAGTCCAGCAGTTTGCACTTTGCACAACATCTCTGGTTGCTGAGTTTGGTTTTCACCTTTCACTGCTCTCGGCTAGTGACGCACATGAAGCAGGTGGGACCAATGGCTGGAGAGGCTGTGGTGGGGAATAGAAGGAAACACTGCTGCAGGCAGCCCTTTTTTTAGTATGTGAGCTGTGAGAACGAATAACATCTAACAAACACTGGCTACACAATGGCATTTTGGCGTTTCTCTCCGGCGGAATAATTTTAGACACTGTTTGTGGTGTTTACTCGCGAATTAAGATCTTCCGACTACGTGATGACATCTAACGATGACAATAAGAAAGAACATATTTATACAATTCATTCACTGCTCATCCAGACCGAGCCACTTAATGGACGCGGAGCGGCTATCAGACGTGACTCACCCGAGGAGCGGCAAATACACACACACACTAGATTCCACAGGCAGGAACTGGCTTTGGCCGGACAAAGAGTTGACTTTATCGTTAACAAATTGATTAGCCAAAATGGAAGTGACCAAAAAGAGAAACGAAAGAACCACAAACTGAGACATTCGAACAGGTTTTTTTTGGTGCTTACTGAACTTTGCCAGAATTACACACCGATCAGCAGATGGACAAAAATAGATTTAAACTGATATTCATTCTCATTTCTCATTTTACCCCCCTTTCAGAGAGAGCAATGCGTCTCGACACGAACTCAAATGTGGACTTCAAAGCATTCGAATCTAGCTCCAGCTCCAGTTCATGTGTGAGTAAAGTGGCTGGAACTAAAAGCACAATCGATGCTCATACCGATTCCTCTCCTTTTAGCTTATCAAGTTGGACAACTTGGCCACCTGGGGAGGCTCACAGAAAACAGACACTCGGCTGCCAATCACGGACTACTCGACGCTGGGCGGACCCCGGCACAATCGCAGTCCCTTTCCCCTGTCCAAAGATGTCAATAATCGCCTGGTGATCTGGTAAGTGAAAGTGCAATAGCCGTCCCTCTACCAATGGGATTAATGTCTGTTTCGTTTGATGCTTCGTAGGGATGGCGACATGACCACACTGGATGTGGACGCCATCACAAACACCAGCGATGAAACTCTGACTGAAAGCAATATCATATCGGAGCGCATACTCGCCGTCGCTGGCAATCAGCTGAGGGACGAGTTGAGCACAAATGTTAAAGGTGAAGTCAGGGCTATAGATACACCTATTCCCCCTCTATAACTTCATCTCTGATTCCCTCCCCTTTCAGAATGCCGCACTGGTGATGTGCGCATCACGCGTGGATACAATCTGCCAGCCAAGTATGTGCTGCATACAGTGGCGCCTACATACAGGGAAAAGTTTAAGACGGCCGCCGAGAATATGCTGCATTGTTGCTACAGGTAAGATGATCCCATTTGTTACCTTTTGGCGCTCTCTCCCTCTAATGCCTGTTCTGCCCTTCTATCTGTAGAAACGTTCTGTGTAAGGCCAAGGAGCTGAACCTGCACACAATCGCCCTGTGCAACATCAGTGTCCACCAGAAGAGCTTTCCAGCGGACGTGGCCGCACACATTGCACCTGCGTGAGTAGTGGAACGTAATCTGGCACAGTTTGAGAGTTTGCTAATGAGATCTCATCACCCACAGGCACCATCCGACGTTACCTGGACAAGTGCACCCTTCAGGTTGTGATATTATGTGTGAACAGCAACGAACGCGGTACCTACGAGGTGCTGGCCCCGCTCTACTTCCCCCGCGATCAGCTGGAGGAGCGCAGCGCCCTTTGGCAACTGCCCAAGGACATCGGCGGTGAATTCGGCGAGCCGCAGCACCCCGATCCTGACCGCCAGATCCGCATCATTCGCAATCCCCAGCACAGTGTCCACATGCGTCACCGCCAAAGTGAGTATCTCCTAATATCTGTTTGTCGTCATTGATACTCGTATCTCGTCGGGCTATCCACTGTCGAAGATGATAAAGCCTGTGCTTATCTGCCAGAGACTGAAGATTGTCGGGGCTCGGTGATGATTCCATTTCGGCCCTGTTGTATTGTGGGGCTGTCGATAAGATTACAGTCAAAAAAAAAACAGCAGAAAGTAGACGAAACACAACACAATTATATGCAAACGCTGCTCGCCAGCTATGTTGACTGACTAACTGGCTTCTATGGCTTCAGTTACGTTGCAAAGTCGGTCGTGTGCGGGTCACTGGTGGCAGTTGCATTCAATTGTCCAGTCCAAGTCGTTAAATATCCAATTATTTGGCCACTAAATAAGATTGTTCCATCAACCGTTCGTAGCATAGAACTATTTTTTCAGTGTTTCAGTTACCGAATCGAGTAGAAAAATCCATTTAAAGTGAGCAAGAAATTTCCAATTTCAAAGATTTATATTCGCAGTCGCTGCTGCGCTTCGTGCTGGCCGACAGCAGGCTGATTGCTACGTATGATTTGTGTGAAATGTTAAAGATACATACTTTCAGGCTGTGTAACTTACATGCTACATGGCGTAACTTGCGTGTATCTGACATGTAAATATACATGACTGATCGGAAGAGCAGAAATCTTTAGAAAATAGTGAAATCGAGCATTATCGGGTGATGGGAATACGATATAACGGGCATATTTATAAATATAATGATACTTTCTTGTGGGAAAACCATTTTGGGAAATTTTTGGAATTTGTAGCCAATGTGGATAAACCTAATTTATCTGTTACTATAACTCTTTAACTCTGATCAACCTTGAAATTTCACAAAATTTATTTTGGCTACCGCTCGTAAATGATTCTTGTAAAGTGTAACTAGAAAACTTGTTTGAATTTGCATTACGTTAGTTTGTCAACAAAAGTTTGTTAATTTACCTTGAAGAACCACTTATCAGGACAGCGGCGACGAGTGGCAGTCGCTCCAATCTTTGCGGGATACCAAGCCTAAATCATGTCAACACCGGGGGAGCAGTACGCAGCCGCCTTATCGGGTTATCGCAAGGGGAGAGAGAGCAAAGGCAGGCAGGCAGACAGCATCCAGTTTTTGTTTGCCGTTCGCTCATCTGCTCGCGCGCTCCGACAGCGCAGTCGAGAAAAAGCCGTGCCAGAGAAGGCTTTCAGTTCAACTCAAATTCCGCATCGCTGAAGTTCGGCTGATAATAATTTTTTAGCTGTAATTAGATAAAAGCAGACCCAAAATGATAAACAATTCGTTTGAGTTCTCATGTAATGGAATACCCGCAGAGTGACCATGGAAATACATTCAGAATCTATATAATCAACTTAATCTCTCTCTGCATATTGCAGCCGACGACGAGTCCGACGTTAGTCCACACGATATGGAGGGCAACAGTTCGGATCTGGAGTACGGAGCCAAGGACATGAACGGCCTCAGTCCGAACTCCTACAGCAGTGGACTTCAGACCCAGCTTCAGGTGAGTTTTGATTGGATTTTCGGAAGCTTATCGGATTACTTATGAGACACACACATTCCCTCTGCCCACAGTGCGATCTGGACAGACAGCATCTGCTCAGTGATCGTCCGCGAGCCGGTGTCTATGAGAATGTCATCTCGGAGGGCGTCGAGGGGATCGAGCACCAGGAGAGGTGAGTGAGCCGCAGCACAGATGCAGCACAGCACTATTCTCCTGTCCCGCCCATATCGTGTTACGCATTGCGTCACTCGTTCTGGGGCGTACCTTACACCTGACAAGTAGTACGCGGGGGACATCTGCAGTTCATAAAACTAACAGCAAGACACGCAGCCCCCGACTTGGCACCCTCCCATTCCCCCCATTAACACATTGTAGTGGAACTCTTGGCTCAGCGAATATTTATTACAAAAGCATGCCGGAAATATCTTAAGCGTCTAACAAACGAGCCACCTCCGCGTGCTCCTTATGGAAATTCCGATTCCGATTCCGCTGCCGCTTCTCGAAATTTTACAGAGCATTGGCACGCAAGTCGCCACCGGGCGGGCAAGTGGAAATTGAATTGAATTGGAGTGTGCGGGAAGCGGAGAGGAGTAGAGTTGAGTGTCAGTAGTGCCAATGGTCCTGCTCAACAGTAATCGGAGAATGCCAAGTGCCTGGTATTCCACTTGTGACGACAGCTGTGACGTACAAGTGACCATTGCGGCGTCACTGCTTGCATGACATCTCCTTCACCCGGCCCGAAAACAAATCTAATTTTAATGCCAGCTAAAAATATTTGTTTTTGCTGTTCAAGTCACAAAAGTGAAGCTTTCAGCTAAATATTTATGAATATTTACAATGGAATCATGAGATAGATAATTACTGTGACAAAGCCAGGCCAAAAAAAAGGCCATTTTAAAAGATAGATAATGGGTTGGGGGTAACTTTTTCTATGGAGAGTGCCTAATTAAAATGAGTAATGAGTACGATGCTATTTGTCAGTTTTGCTCACCCTTCCACGCTCATCAAATAATAAATGTCCCTTTTGATTTTACATCGCATTCATTTGATGCACATTTTCGCCAAATATTGTCAATTCCCTAATTAATATGACAAGTGGGCATGCTTCAGTGGGAATGGAACTGGGAATCCACACGTAACCGGATCAGATCAGGTTGTACATGCACAACCTGTGCGCATACATAACACAGGTACATGCATACCATGCCATGCATACATATAAGAGAATATCGAACCGTTGCAGTTCATTGAATGAAACCGCACAACCGTCGCGCACATTTTGTAGACGTTTAATCGAACATCTCCTCATGTAACGTAATTTATTCAAGCGGTTTTCAGTGCGGATGACACGGGAGAAGGAACGGGAGGGAGACAAGCTGGCGCCGCCGCTTCCTGAACGAGCTGCTTCGTGTGCGTGCGAGGGGAATGCACCTCGCGCAGCTTCATCTTCTCTCCATCAGCTTTAATTAGAGTCTCCCCCACAAACACACGTGCATGAGTCAGTGTCAGTGCCAGTGATGTTGATGTTGATGTTTACAGTAATGTTTTCGCATTTCATTTCTCCTTGATGGAACTGTTACACACTGCGTGGGCGAAAGACAGAAGGAAGGCACTAGAAGACAGGAAGCACCGAAATAGAACCTTTGCCATTTCTGTTTCTGTTTCGTTTTCGTAGCTTTTTGCGCATTTAGCTGCCACTGACGAATGCAAACATTTGGACTGATTTCATTTTTTGGACGTTTTCTTTTGGAGTGACTGACATTAGCGCAAATAAAGCGGTTAGCATGTCCTTGGGCCATTGCCTGGTGCCGCCGATTTTTGTTGTTGCTGTTTGTTGTAACTGATGTCATTGAACAGACGGCGATAGGGCGCACGCTCAAAGAGTGGGAGTGTGTGAGAGCAAGAGTCGAAGAAAGAGAGAGAGAGCTGTGCTTTCATGCTGTCAAGGTATATACATTTTGAGGTAAGAAATTCCCACAGACCACTCTCTTTCGCGACACAATGTACACAATGGAAATTGAGAAGCAGGCTGATAGAATAAGAAGAGAGAGTGGCTAGACAACCTGTTCAAATACACCTTGTGCCATGTGCTCTGCTTTGCCTGCTGCGCGCTGCTCTCCACTGACCCGCTGGTGGGGTACATAATATAGATGCGAATGATGGGGGGCGAAAAAAGCATTCAAGAGCAGCGCAGCACGCCGCTCCATCGCTCAGTCGAAAGGCGCCACTCACAGCGAACACTCGTGAATTGAAATACTCAAAGTGTTGCCACCGTCGGCGCCAGTTTTTATATAAACTAAAAATAAATTCAATAATTTTACTGTGATCCGAATCGCGAATCGCATTGCAAAAGCAAAAACCGTTTATTAGTTTTGAATTTTTCACGCACCGCTTCCGTTAACCAACCAAAAGTCTGGCCAACAAGCTGCCCACACATACACATAGTTTATTCGAGACTTCTTAAACTATTTATACACTCTTATAACTACAAAGCATCAGACAATATACTGCGTCAATTGAATACGAAATTGTGTTGAAAAGGAAACGACAATAAGAGAGCAAAGGAAATCAGATCAGATCGGCCAGCCCGTAAAACGGAATTTTCTATTTTGACTTAAAATCGATAAACCGTAATTGTGCGAGAAGAGAAAGGCGAATAGCGAAAGGCGAAAGGAGGAGACACGCGAACTAGTGCCACCCACCGACAATAACACCCACACCAACAACCACTTATAACTGTAAACTATGACAATGCTGGAAGGCATGACGTCTATTGACTTGGGCTCGAGTCCCATGCAGGAGACGACGGGCGACATGAACGATGTGCTGCCCGATGAGCTCATGGAGTCGCCGGAGGAAAGGTAACAGTGGGCGGTCAATCACTGTAACGAGTTCTTTCACAATTGAAAAGACGTGGGTTCTTTTATATCCTAGTTATGACGTCAGAACAAAAAGAACACCCCATTCTCAGTTCTATATCTGGAATCATTTATATTAATGTCGTTCAGTTCGAGATGCATTTCCACTATTTTTCCTTCCTGGCCTTGGCCCCACCCGCTACATTATTAATAAACAAACAGGCGAAGATACCTCTCTCTCTCACTCGGCCTTGCCTGCGAGTACGTGCCAGTGAACAATAACATGCAATCCGTGATTGCAGGAAATGTGATCTAATAATAACATTAGTACCTTGCGTTCCCTGCGTTCCTGCAAGCTTGTTAAGCTGTGAGATTTATTCAATGGATTAGCATTTTGGCTTAATATTCATTGTGCTTTTCACACGATAACCATATTCGTGGGGCACTAGCCAACCCCAGCCACAACCACAACCCCAACCCCATCTGAACCCACTACTCGTGCATCCGCATCTGTATCAGTAGCTGGGCAAACACTGCGACTGAGATGGCGATTGTGTTGGGCTAAGACTGCGTCACAATGCGTCACATTTGGGTGTTTTTGTTGGCCAGGAATTATCTTGATCTTTATCTAGGTGCTTCCTCTGCAGTCGTTTACTGCTCTGCTTCGTATTGCGGCTTATCAGTTGCTGGCTACCGGAGTTCACTGCGGCACGAGTCGGATCTCTCGCCTGGAATTAGTCAAAAATCCGACGTTTTAATTGGGCGTGTGTCAGTCGAAAGTTGTTAATTACTCTAACACAATTTCGCACACCCCGACAGCTCTCGAACATGTTCAGATGTGTAAATATAGGCATGTGCATCGATTACCTGACCAATGACCAATTCATATGTGACTCATATAGCACATACTTAGAGCATTACATTGCCAATCCAATTGCTGTTCAAATTAGAACTATTTTTCTCACCCTCACTCACTCACCACCCTACCCTACCCTACCCCTCTCTATCATTCGCTCTTTTGATATAATTTGGAATTTTTATCTGACAAATATTTACCCAACAGAAGCTAAGTCAAAGCACACACACACTCAGCACGCATTTCAAATTTATAATTCCTCCCTGGGTCAGAGCCCCAACAGATAAACATGGATTTTAGCGCTTTTGCGAAATGAATTTCAAATAGTGGCCCAATGCGAAATACAGCTGCTTCTGCTCTTGACGGATAGACAGACAGACTGTCATGTCAGGCACTAGCGACAGCCGTCATTATTTTCTCGTATATGGCCTGGAATTGCGTGCCGGCATAATAATCGGTCGCGCGACACCCCCTTAGCCTTCTATCCATGGTCTGTAGTCAAGTGATTTCACATAATTGCTGGGGCATACTCACTCGTATCTATGGGCTTAGCTACTCCTCGCGCTTTCCCAAGAAAAGTACACAAAAGATATGAGTATGTACATATGTATGAAGAAGTATGTATATACTGAATGAATAGAGTTAGTCATGCGCGTAATCCATTCTCTAATCGATCGTGTTTCAGCTATTGTGGGCTTTTACTCACCAAGAGGTGAATGTTTATCCTTTGTGATTGCTTTATGCATTTTCCCATGTGTATCGTTGATTAATAATTGTATTATCTGTATTATCTTCAGATACGAACGTCTTCTGCGTCGCGCTCAAGTCGAGGACTTGACGGAGGTCTCGGGCATTGGCTGTCTGTATCAGAGCGGTGTAGATCGCTTGGGTCGCCCTGTGATTGTGTTCTGTGGCAAGTGGTTCCCCGCCCATAACATTGACCTGGAAAAGGTAGGGCAATCCGTTGCACGAATCACTGTTGAATCAGTGTTAAGTAAACTCTGTTTGTTTGCAGGCACTGCTGTATCTGATAAAGCTACTGGATCCCATCGTTAAAGGAGACTATGTTATTTCCTACTTCCACACACTGACCTCCACGAATAACTATCCATCGCTGCACTGGCTGCGCGAGGTCTACAGTGTGTTGCCCTACAAGTAAGCCCCCATTATCCTGACAGATTTCGAAACAATCTCTGATCACTCTTCCTTCCAGGTACAAGAAGAACCTGAAGGCCTTCTACATAGTGCATCCGACTTTCTGGACCAAAATGATGACCTGGTGGTTCACCACTTTCATGGCGCCCGCCATTAAGGCCAAAGTACACTCGCTGCCTGGAGTCGAGCATCTGTACTCGGCCATCACAAAGGATCAGCTGGAAATACCCGCCTACATAACCGAATACGACATGGCGGTAAGACAGATGGGACTGTGGGCCAAGAATTGCTTGATTCTAATGTGGATAATTTCTTTTAATTACAGACCAATGGCCTGCATTACTTCAATCCCGTGCCGACTGCCTCGTAGATGGCGGCCATTGTGGCTGTCTAAAGACAGCGCAGCCGCCATAGCATATACATATATATACACCCACACATGTGAAGTTTTTATAGATTTTATAGAACGTATTTTGTTTTCTTGATAAGTAATAATTGTTTACTTGCGCATAACTATCGATGTTGTTGTTTACCGATTGATCTGACGCAAGTTTTGTTGAGCATTGTGTAGCATACGTTTGTGGAAGGGCAAACAGCCGCCCTCCCACGCATGCCCCCAACCAATTAGCTAAATGATAAATCTACATTCAGATATGTAAGTCCCAAATCCCCCAAAAGCGAGAATTATGTAAAACATTCTTATGAAAGGCATGGAAATTAGTTAATTAGTTGATTCAGAAGATTTATTGATTGACAGCAGGCGAAGGACATAAGCATACACTCGTTGAACTATTAGTAGGATGAGGATTAGTGGGAGGATGTGGATTAGGATGACGATGATACCAAAAGAAACCAAAAAAAATGTTAGCAGTGCTGAACAAAATTAAATTTGATTAGATGACGGGCATATATACACAACATATATAAAAAAAAAAAATGATTACTTGTACTTCGGAATTCGGAATGGAATATAGATATTATATATATATTGTATTGTTAGTTATCTTTGCAATTACAAATTGTATTATTAATACTAGAGCCTAACGCGTATGCAGTTTGATCCCCCGATATATACACATACATACATACATACAATACATACGTACTATAAATTCAATTGTATTTATACATAAATAAATATACTAAATATACACAAAACTAACGATTAACAAATTACATATACATATACTGTCGTATGTATAAACCAAAGGGGAGGAAGCAACACACGGAACGCATACCTTTTGTAGATACAATACTTACTAGAGCTCACTCACCGTGGGGCGGCCCCTTCCGCCCAGGAATCGAAACACCAATAAAGAACCTAACGAATAGTTAATGTTAATTGTTCAACTTTGATATGAATTATGTTTAGGCGGAATACACACACGTCCCCTCTTTATCTTCCAAGCACCGTTTGCGCTCAAAAGAAAGTACCCAACTCCCAATTGCAAGCCAAGAGCACGCCGTCGCCATATACAACCAAGTATATGTATGTATGCATAAATATAGTATTATATTTATATAGATATACGTATTGTAATTACATTGTCGAATCAATTATGGCACTCGCTCTCGCTGGCAGCAATCTGACAACAAAACACGCACACACAGACACACACAATAATCGATTTGAGCAGACTCAAGTGATAAGCAAATGCCGCCAGAGATACATCTACGAGTACTAGCAGATACATACTATGTAGATCCACAGCCAAAAAACACACAACAGTTGATTATTATAGCAATTATGTACATGCAAAGCAAAATGCACTCAGGGATTGATTTAAAGAAACCAAAACACCAAAGTAAACCAAGACAAGGTACTTTTGATGAAGGCCTAATGCAATGCAATGCAATGCGCTTTACTGGAACCGCAGCACATTGGCAGCAGCAGCAGCAGCCTGGCTAGTACCTCTTGTAAAACGATAAACCAAGTAGACACATAGTTTTTGAAAATGTTCTTATATGTATATGTATCACCGTCAAGGATCATCAACATAAAAAACATACATACATACATATATACAATTATGCCAAATACAGATGTATTTTGTATCGACAGCAATTAATCGGAATGCGATAGTGAAAGCAGAATTCAGATTTTAACAATCATCAGAGTGTTACGGTAAATACTTATTCAATTAGCTAAAAGTACAGTCTACTCAAAAGTTACGCTTGAAATGAGCTTAGGAGATCGTTGGGATCTACGGCCTCGCCTCCTATTCAGCTCAACAAGAGAATCCCAAACGACATAAAAAAACCCAAGTTATGCCAAGTGTTCCTTTCTCAAAGAGTATACATACATACATACAAACAATATATAAGCAAATACTTTTCGAAATATTTGAATATTTGTAAGTCAACGAGTACATTGAACAAAATTAAACCAACTGCAAGTACTTAAAACTAGTGTCCCAATTGCAATCTCTATATATTCCGTCAAATTTCAAATATTGCCATGGCTTTAGAGTTACAAAAAAAATTATTAAAAAAACAAAACCAATAAGAAAACTAGCAAGAAATTGGATAAATGTTGCTAAGTTAAATTGTACCTTAATAAAATTCTGCGATTGAATCTTTCCTAGCGTAGCACTTAATCTTACCAAAATCAAATTCCTTATAGTTGTAAATGCATATACAAGGCGGATGATGGAAGGAAGATGATAATTGAATTAAAGAATGATCAGAATATGGCATCGTGGCACAAAATGCGCAATTAAGTTAAGCTTTTCCAAATACGAATTACAAAATTACAATCCAGCTCCTTGTTCTTTTTTTGTATATATAAGATGTACGAGGTAACACATTTAATTGGTAATAATTAATAAAAGCAAAAAAAAAATAAACAACAAAACTTATGCTTTCATTAATAATGATCCCTTAACTTGATTTTGTTTGTGTGTGTGTGTGTGTGTGTGTGTGTGTGTGTGTTGTGTTTGTGCTTAAAAACTCTTATACACTGAAGATCACTTTTGGCCAAAGAATATCTGAGGCATTTACTGTATAACCAGTTTACTATTCTTTGCGTTCGGTATATATTTCTTCTTATACAGTTCGAACATCCTCTCGAGTTGCTCTACCACTTGTCCGTGCACTTTTTCCACATAGGCGGCATCCGGCTGATCACTCTTTACCACATCAATGGGGAAACCAACTGGGGAAACAATATATTCAGTAGAGATATTCAGTAGAGATAATTTCTCATGGATTGCGTTGAGACTCACCAACTTGGACGATACGACGGCGTTGGGGCAGGATACCAATGGAATAGTTGAAGATGCCACGACCCATCGGAATAAGCGGGGATATCCCCGTCAGTTTCTTCACCACAGACTGCACGCGACGGAGCAGGGAGTCCGGCGGATTGGCCACCTGACTGAATATATCCACCTCTCCAAAGGAAAACGTGGGCACAATAGGTGAACTGGATGGAGGAGGGGAGGTTATTTACTTACTTATTTAAGCAACTCATGTCCAGGCTTAACTTACCCCGTTCGAATGGCCATTTTGACGAATCCCTTGCGGTTCTTCAGGGTCAGAATATATTTCCCTGGATGCGAGTCCATGGCCTCTTGGGCTCCACCCACAAGTATGGCCACCGCATTGGATGTGAAGCCATCGCGATTGTCCGCATGCTTCGGATCATTCGATTTGGTTAGCAATCGGACGAGGGACTCTTTGGACACCGAAACCATTCCCCACCAGCGCACAATTTCTCGGAGAAGAGGTGTTCGGAAATGTTGATCCAAGGTAGCTACCTTGGGCCGGATCTGGGGAAACAACTCCAGCCATTTGCTGATGTCCAGTCCCATGTTGACGCAAGTTCCAGTTCTATTTCAGGGATCGTTTTAAATGCAATATTTATTCAGTATTAGGTTTCTTCACTTAAGTGGCCCGATAAGATTGGCTATCTGTTGGCATTTACCCGAGTATGCCATGCGGAAAGCTGGCCAAGATGTAGTTTCTGTTTGGTGGCAGCTCGGCTGTCTTCACCAGCTCCACGGGAAAGTAGTCTCGATAGTTCCGATACAGGCGATTAGAGCGGTTTAATAGCCAGCTAGGGGGGGGAGGTTTTCAATAATTATCTCCACATTAAATTGTAGTTATAGACTTACCCATTGCCTTCCAAGATAGAGTAGGTTCTCTTGTGATCCACATACATGTAAACAAAATAGATGAGCATCAAGGTGCGGAGTATGAGGCCGCCATAAAACTGCGAATGATGACCCAATGAAACAAGCTGACTAATTGTTGATGTCCTTACTTTACCATCAGAACTGCAACAATTAGGCAGGCTAAGAGGGGCAGCGTGAAGAATGTGAGCGTGAGAACCGCTGTGACCAGGGTCTGGACACGTCGCGCCAGTGGAACGCGTAGGGGAGCCCACTCGATTTTCATGTTATCTATTGTCTAATACAAGCACTCCAGTGATCTAATTGAAAAGTACCGGGTACTAGCGACTCTTTCGGCGGCTCTCCAGCAACTAAATGACAGCGAAATAATGACAAATGAATTTCAATATACAATGCTGATACTTAACTTATCCTTATCAACGAAGCGAGCCGCATACGTCTACTCGTGCGGAGGGCGGGTTGTTGGGGCAATCCTATAATGTTCTCAACAGTTAAAAACCTCACTTTAGTGAGATACAAATAAGTATTGATAATTGCCCAAGTGTCGACGCACTTGACAGACCATCAGATATTGCAGTAAGATTTAGCGATAACACTAGGATACCCTGATTCCCGCGACCCACTTCACAACGATTTATGTGGACAAATTATAGTCGAATTATTGTTTCATTAGCCAACCAGTTAATAGTTATTTCCCTGGACTGGCTGTATATTTTGATTGGGAACCACGATAGCGGTTGACTTTTAATCGGCGCATGGCAAATCATATTTCTAGGCTTGAAATATAGGTCTATATGCGATTACAAAAAAACTGTTGGCATGCCCGTAGTCATCTCTATCGCTTCTCACTCGCGACCTTTAAGACTAAAACTTTCGGGCTCTGGTTCGCAACAGACATTCCTCGAATTATGCGTAGCTACAATGTTGGTTCCTTGATAAGACGTTCTGTTTAATTTCGTGCAGTCTCACTGGGCTACGGATTTGTGACGGTCTTATCAGGCAACTGCCTCCTCGGCTGGGCATGTGCTGATTCATGCAGCCAGCAGCTGTTACATTGTCTCCGATGGAAAAAACTATTGTAATTGACGTAAGCACGCATAGACGTTGTGTCAATTGAAACTGGTTCTCCAACCTCTAATCACTATTAGTCAACAACAATGGCAAACGTATGGAAATGTACCACTTGAAATATGTGCATTTGGATATTCAGTATCACTCATGTTTAGAGTGAAATATTCTCACAAGTTAGAGGCAGTGCTCAACGCTTTGCTTATTGACCCCGTCCCGAGAACGTTATCGCATAGCACCGATGTCGCTGGCCTGGCGAACAATTTCAAACTGACCAAGCGCGACGCGTTTAAGGTAGGGTATTATATATAAAGTAATTATAATGTATTTATTGTCTACCCCTATTTAATTGCATGCACGGGCATCGTGAACCTTAACCTTTAATAATGTAGGTGAAGAGATCCATTGCATACATTAATGAATAGCTTATTTGGTGAATAATTTAATTATATTTAAAAATATTTCAATTACAATTACAGATCGTTGTTAACAAAACAAATTACCGACACGATAATTTTAATTTTTAAAACCGCTTAAATATGCCGTCCAATTCAATCCGAACACTTGAACTTCGCGCCTCTTTTCTACTTAAATGTCTTATGGTTTTATGGCGGCGAGCTTATGCGAGAGTGAGTTTTTGATATCGGGGCATCGATACTTTCATTGTATCGATATTGTAGTTACGTATTTAAGTAACGTATTTCTTGAAATTCCATTTAAAAGTAAACGGCATCCACCCACTTAACAGAAAATTACACATCTCATGTGTCAAAAGTGTCACACCTACATAAATATGTTAAATTCAAATACGTATAAATGTTAAAACAAATAATTATTATATTTGAACACACAATCCTACAATGCATTTCGGAGTGAGTATTTCAAAATGATGCAATCTTTGTCTCCTTACTGTATCTTCTTCTGACCATTAGGTTTGCACTGCGTGCAATTTTATAGTCATAATGTATTTTTGGCCACAGCTGTATCCCATCAAATGGTACTTCGTGGCCTATATGGGATGGTCATTGCTCGCCACTGTCTAATCTACAGTAACTTATCATAATTTAAAGATTTGGAGAGGCAACACTTCAGCCATTTCTCGCATTGATGCCGATTCTCTCGTACGAATAAAATAGGTGCGGGGAGCTATGCCATGCGAAATCAGGATATTAAATTTGTTTGTTTGTAACAAAATACCCAATAAATATTAGATATTCTCACTATGTGGATGTGGTTAAACAAAAAGACTGACAAGCAACACTGACGATTCCGAAAACACTGATGTTTTATGCTTTGGCCATTTTTGTTTCAGCTCTTTTTAAAAATCGTCAAATAAGAAGAGTCATCAAAGTTAGCCAGTCTTGTAGAAAATTGATTCATCTATCTGATAAAATTATATGTGAAGTGCTGAGAGCCCCATCTAGGTAGTTTAGTTATACCGAATATTAAAATTGAGAAATATGATTTCCGTTCATGGCGAGAGAACGCTTAACCCATTGTCAACCAGTGGGTATTTAGATTTTCGCACGAAAATTATGAAACGTAAAGAACTTTTAGCACAAATCAGAGGAAAGATTTCGTGGAAATGTTGTTTGTAGGGAAGGAGAACGGATGAATCTACAAAGACAATTTAGCAGCAGTAGTATTTCCCGCGTTTTACCTCAAGCTGCCCACATGTTTTAGTGGACTTTTTTTAAAGGTGGCTAAAGTGGGTTAAGTAGAACTTGTTCAGTTCGTTCATTCCGCCAGAATTTCAGAGTCAAGTGAGATGCGAAAAAAATTGCTAAAGCCGAAAATAAATAAGCTAAAAATTAAAGGTGATTGCTGCAGCTATAAAATACAAACGAGATGCAAAATAAATTTAAAGCTTGAAAAAGCTAAATCTATTTTAAAAAAATGTATAATTGTTGTAGAACAAGCATTTGGAAAATGTATAAGAAATTCCTCTTTTAAAAAGGCTAGATTTAGCCATAAAAAGACTAAAATAGCATAGCTGGTGAATCCATTTTTGTGTTCGTTCATGAACCACCAACACCAGTATAAATATCAGTGCACTTTTTGAGCTCCTCACAATTTTTTCGTCGCCGTGTGAAGTGTTTTCCGTGCTCGACAAGGCTCTAAGCAGAAGATAATTTAAGTTAAAAGTTCAAAAATCTATACAAATACAATATGAGGGAAATCGTACACATCCAAGCTGGTCAGTGCGGCAACCAGATCGGAGCCAAGGTATGTTAACTGCCACAGAATGTGGGCAAATAGATCTTAGAAGATGGGCCAATTAAGTACAGTTGCCAAAATGGCGTCATTTTTTGCACTGATGCCCATGTGGCAAAAATTATTGAGGCCGCCGCCGGCATTTGCCTATAACCACACACACACAAACATAGAATTATGTATACATGAAAATGTATCGTGTGTACCGGCATCTGTGTCCGTCTGCTCCCCGCTTGCGATTTCCCGTTGATCTGTGTGTGTGCCTCTAAAAAACTCTGACACGCCCAATATTTTTGAAATCCTGTCTTTTATATGTCTGGAATTATAGTTTTGGGTGTGTCTGCAGTTACATTCATCTGCACATACACAAAACTATGCATGAGTCATTTTCACTCCAACAAATACTTTCTCAATTTTCCTCTTGAATGTGAAAGCAACTCTCGGGCTCACAGATGGTGAAGGGTTTCATTTCATATACACACAGCTCATATATGATATGTATGTATGTATACATTTTCTACGAGTTTAGCTGCCGGTTTTTGTCGTTATGCTTCTAAAGAGAAAACATGACGTCATTTTAACCTAAGATGGCTGAACCGGTTGTCGGTGACCGGTCGTATAAGAGAGAACTATACATATTTTTGTGTACAAGTATGTACTCACTCATTCTATCGATCAGGCTATGTGTGTTGTGTGTACATACATTTGTATGCTCATAAAAATCGCTATTTTTGCACTCTTGGAGCGGCTTGACTTCTATCTTATCTTCCATGAAAACATTTTCTATTTTTTATTTCATGATGGTGCATGTCCATACAAACACAGTTTGCACCTTCCTTCATCTGTATTAGTGTTTGTAAGGGGAAAATCTGCATTTGCTTGTGTGGAGAGGCAGAAATGCAACTTTGGTTTATTTTTATGAGCGAGAAATTGTTCAGTTGCAGAGGCGGCGAAAATGGGGGTGACCATATAGAGGAATTTGCCGCATACTTCGCGAACTCTCTTGGTCTCTCCTTCCATCTCTCCATATTTTCTTTTGCACACACACACACACACCAATGCATAGAAACAAGGGCGGTGCTGCACATGCGTGCGAAAAGGACTGGAACGACGAAAATTGACGACGAATCCGCTGTGTCATCGTCTGCTTCGAGTCCTTTCCGGGAAAATCAATAGCCATGTCGTGAAAACAACCCCTGAAAAGCCTGAAACTTCTGGCAGCTGCAACATAACAATTGTTGTGCTAAATGTAAGGCTGTATGTGTGTGTGTATCACGGACGCGGCTTAAAGAGGGTCGGAGAACGCTATATGTATGTACGTGTATGTAGAAAAGCTACCACGCAAACACACTCGTACATATTTTGTGACTGTCGACCACGCAGTTTTCGGTGTATGTTTGTATGCATGTACATCTTGTCCTCGCCTTTCTATCGACTTATTTTAGTTAATTATTTTATTTGTTTACTCGACATAAACAACGAAAAAAAACTTTTTTTGTCATTCGCGGTGACGCAATGCCCTGAAAATAGTCGATTTATGCGCCATATGGTCGTCGGTACGCTGAGCCAGAGTTGCAGCTTAACCTCAACCACCCGCCAACGCCATTGCCGCTCACCGTCTGGCCTAAATGTGTGCGTGGGTTGTGTGTGTGTGTTTGTGGTTGCCCCCGCGATGGTGATGTAAGCGCTCTGGGGAAATGTATGACGAGGAGGAAGAGGGGGCCGAAGGAAAGCCAAGCCAAACCTGAGGTCGCCCTGAATGGTGCGTGTGGTGTCAGGGAAACGGAGAATACTGGGCGGGGCTGATATTTCCGCCGCCAGCCCACACTGACAATTGCAGAGTCCAATGCCAGACACGACAGCTGCGCTCCGAGCTGGGCCCACGCCAGATGACGTTATCGTAGTTGACGCCGGTTTCTGTGTCGGCGGAGTCTCATGAGCCAAGCAACGCACCAAAAATGGCATCGCCTGAGATATGTTAATCAGAGCTCGGCCCATACATAGGTACACAGGCATATACATACACATTGTACATTGAATTTAGCGCAGATATCTCGAATGTCCCCATGATCAGTCAGACCAGACCATCAATCAAATACTCATAAATTTGATGAACTAAATTGTTAATTATGAATTTTCTTTGGTTTCTTTTCTGAATAGTTCTGGGAAATTATCTCCGACGAGCATGGCATTGATGCCACTGGTGCCTACCACGGCGACAGCGACTTGCAGCTGGAACGCATCAACGTGTACTACAATGAGGCGTCCGGAGGCAAATACGTGCCCCGCGCCGTCCTTGTCGACTTGGAGCCCGGCACCATGGACTCTGTTCGGTCCGGCCCCTTCGGCCAGATCTTCAGGCCCGACAACTTCGTTTTCGGACAGTCTGGCGCCGGCAACAACTGGGCCAAGGGTCATTACACAGAGGGCGCTGAGCTGGTCGATTCCGTGCTCGATGTCGTGCGCAAGGAGGCTGAATCCTGCGACTGCCTGCAAGGCTTCCAGCTCACACACTCCCTTGGCGGCGGCACCGGCTCCGGCATGGGTACCCTGCTGATTTCAAAGATCCGCGAGGAATACCCCGACAGAATCATGAACACATACTCGGTTGTGCCCTCGCCCAAGGTGTCGGACACCGTTGTGGAGCCCTACAACGCCACTCTGTCCGTGCACCAGCTGGTCGAGAACACAGACGAGACCTACTGCATCGACAACGAGGCTCTCTATGACATCTGCTTCCGCACCCTCAAACTGACGACCCCCACATACGGCGACTTGAACCATCTGGTTTCGTTGACCATGTCCGGCGTTACCACCTGCCTCCGTTTCCCCGGCCAACTGAATGCTGATCTCCGTAAACTCGCCGTGAACATGGTTCCATTCCCCCGTCTCCACTTCTTCATGCCCGGATTCGCCCCACTCACATCCCGCGGCTCCCAGCAGTACCGCGCCCTCACCGTGCCTGAGCTGACCCAACAGATGTTCGATGCCAAGAACATGATGGCTGCCTGCGATCCTCGTCATGGTCGCTACCTGACTGTTGCTGCCATCTTCCGTGGCCGCATGTCCATGAAGGAGGTTGACGAGCAGATGCTGAACATCCAGAACAAGAACAGCTCCTACTTCGTCGAATGGATCCCCAACAACGTGAAGACTGCCGTGTGCGACATCCCACCCCGTGGCCTGAAAATGTCTGCTACCTTCATTGGCAACTCCACCGCCATCCAGGAGCTCTTCAAGCGCATCTCCGAACAATTCACTGCTATGTTCCGTCGCAAGGCTTTCTTGCATTGGTACACCGGCGAGGGCATGGACGAGATGGAGTTCACTGAGGCCGAGAGCAACATGAACGATCTGGTCTCTGAGTACCAGCAGTACCAGGAAGCCACTGCCGATGAGGATGCCGAATTTGAGGAAGAGCAAGAGGCTGAGGTCGATGAGAACTAACTCCCCAATTCGAAGTTTTGCGAAAAATAAAACCAGGACAAAAGTTCAGTTGTAAAATGTTTCTTTTAACAACGTAATCAATAAAGTCAGATCCATTTTGTTCACAAGTATAATTTGTATTGTCAATATTTTTTTGGATATTGAATCATCATATCACATCGTAGTCAGTGGGTGAATATGGTCTGGTTGCGTTAAGCTCCAGAAAAGACGAAGCTTGACGAATGGTAGCAGGATGGTACTTTTGACTAGACTACATGCATATGTATAGATTTGGAATAGTAGGGGCGTGCTGAGAACCCTGCCGGTCATTGATTTGGTAATTAATCAATATCCATTAGCATATTCCAACCTGCCCCAACATTATCATTATGTTGTGAAGTTATACCCAGACAATGCCCATTATTCACGAATCGGATAGAAGATGATTCGTTTCTGGCCATCCTGCATTTTGTGCACCATCAGATATATTGATTTAGGAAAATATTTACATTCGTGAAGTAGTGACGTCACAAATATTTTTAGCAAAATTTCGTCACATTCCAGCACTATTGATTCCAGGGCTACTGAACAGTGAAAGAAAAAATATATAAGTCATCATCAGCTGAAAGATATATTGTTTTTATTAAGGTGAAGAGAAAGGATGGATCTACAAGAAGAATAAAATTCACAAACAGTAAAGTCGATGTGTTCAACAGTTTAAATAGAGGGGGCTTAAGTGGGCTAAGTTCGTTTTTTCCTCGGTATATTACGATATATTTTTAACAATATACCTTCTATATTTGGGAATATTTCTGTGGGTCAGGCGGTATATTTTATTGATAAATCTTGTGGGTCTGTCTGTCCTTCAGAAACTAGAGCTGTCAAACGATTGATAGTTGAGTCATCGATAGTTTTGAATGTTTTGAAAAAACAAATAATTATTAAAAAACCATTGAAACCTTTCAGGAACTTGTCCATTGTAAAAATTAGATGCCACCTGTCGATGATTTGTTTACAAATGTGTCTTCGTATCTTATAGCAGACAATCCAAACACATCAAAAGCGCAACGACTGTAGCTCGATACTATCATGATAGTCGCAAAACCGTCGATAGGCTAGCAGTAAAATATCGATACTATCCATAGTGCCCTCGATTGTTTGACACCTCTATTTGACAAGTAAGATAAAAAAAATAAATAAGTAGAATTTTGCGAATGCTTTTTACCGAATCCTGTTCCCCCAAAGATGATAGCAATGGATGAGCAGCGCAGCGACAAAATCTATGGCGGATGCGAGGGGCCGGACGCCATGTATGTCAAACTAATTTCCTCGGACGGCCATGAATTTATTGTAAAACGGGAACACGCTCTCACCTCTGGAACCATCAAGGCGATGTTATCCGGCCCAGGACAATTTGCCGAGAACGAGGCTAATGAAGTGCACTTTCGGGAGATTCCGTAAGTTCAATCTAAAATGCAGTTCCGTTCCCGCTAGCAACTGGGCGCTATCTTAGGCCGTATAACTCTGACCTATTGACCGGCCGCGATTTTGCACAATACATACACACATAAGTACTTATAAACATGCATGCATTGTATGTATGTACATAAGTGCTGAAACACACACCAGAATTGAAGAAAATACATCCGGCAATCAATAGTTGATCTATGAAATTAAAATGTGTGCTGATTAACCACCGGCTGTGCTGATATTCATGTTGTTTATTTGCAGGTCGCACGTCTTACAAAAGGTCTGCATGTACTTCACTTACAAAGTACGCTACACCAATAGTTCCACTGAAATACCCGAGTTTCCAATTGCACCAGAGATCGCATTAGAACTTTTGATGGCGGCTAACTTCCTAGACTGCTAAATTATTGGTTAACTTTATATACTTTATTATCAATTTAACAAGGAGAAAGCAAACTTGAAAGAAGCCTAATTTTTGCCTGTGTTAATTTGTAACGAATCAAGATGATTGTCTCTGTAGGCGAGAAAAAAATAAAATTCTGTTAATTTCCTAAACGACAATAATGTTTGTTTAAAAATAATGATTTTATTTAACTCAAGAACTTGAGTTTAACTTTTCACGGCCCGAGAGTCATTTGGAGTGCTTGGACTTGGCTTTGGCGTCTTTGTTGCTTAGCATAGCGAAACGCATTTGCTGGACCAGCCACTGGACACCTTCGCCGAGGCCCTCGCCGGATATGGCATTGCTGGAGCAGATGTGCCAGGGTTTCTCCTTGATATTCTCCAAACTAAGTGCTAAAATTTAATAATAGTTATTTATCTACTGACACACAATGTTATAAGTAGAACTGCTGGGAGCACCTGCTGCTATTTTGACGCTGGATAGGGAATCCTCTGCGTCCGATTTGTTGCCATAAAAGAGAATGGGCACAATTCGATTGCACAAATGGGGATGCTGTAACACTAGGTCCAACTCATCTTTGACCACAACTGAAATTGAAAGGATAGCTGAGCAACTGGAGGGGGAATCACATTGTTTCTCATGGTCTGCTACCGAATCTCATGCGATCGCTGGAATCAATGACGTATATTATTCCCTGGCAGTTCTTGAACTGATGCTCCCAAAGGTTTCTGTAGCGTGTGGCACCCGACATATCGATAGCCTTTATGCTAACTCCTGCCATGCCTGTGCAAGAATAAAATATATTGATGGATGAAACACCTTGGATATGCCATCGCACTGGAACAAGAAACTTACTATAAAACTGCTCCACCATAAAGCCCACTGTGGGCACCATAATGGACGACTGGTCACCAGGTTTCTTGAAGTGATTGATTATCGTGGACTTGCCACTGTTGTTCAGGCCCAGGACTAGAATAGTCATTTTGTCCTTTTTGATCTTTATCAAATCGGCCAAATTGTGCAACATTCCCATTTTTTCTGATTTACTGGCATCCGCCGCAATTGTTTATAAGCTTCACTGCAATGGTTTTGACATGTTTGGCCCCGCAAAGGACTTTGAATTGCCATGGCAACTATATCCTCAGTTTGAAGGCATCGATTTATTGAAAGTCTCGGTTGCCTTCAACTTTATCACCTGCTGCTACTACTACCGTGTTGGCCCCTACGGCCAAAGCTATTTCAAGTTCACCTCCTGCCTGACTTTGGCCAACTCGCCCTCGCTCTTACCCACACCCAACCCACAAACGGGGCAGATTTAACACTGCTTTATTACAGTATGTACTTGCAGATTATCAAGCTATTTCTTTGTAGGCTATTTCCTAACCTCGATCTGAATCATAATTTATATAAAAAATTAATAACGTTTTGACAGAATCCAAGGTTTATTGTAGAATTCATCTTAAAAAAACATTGTTACGATTAGAGCTTCTACTGTTTCTTGCTGTTCAGAATAATGCCATCGTATTTCTGCTGGAACCATTTCATGGCATCCTCCTTTGTCAGGCGGTGAGGGAAGCCCACAGTGCCGGACTTGCGCTTCCTGTGGTTCACATTGTAGCCTGAAACGAAAAGACAAAAATTAAGTAATATGCCAACAAGGTTTTGGATAAATTCAGTTAATGTGGAAATTGTACCGTGTGGATTTGCATTTGGGCAAATCCCTTTAAGCACATCTTCGTTTCTTTGCGCACATTTACTGAGTATCAATGCCTAGTCTGTCAGAGATACCTAATTAAGTGCACATTCGCCTGATGGCGAGGCCTTTCTTTTGCTTACCTGGACGGCCCAGGACGACGTAGAAGTCCAGACCGTAGATACCGATAGAGGGATCGTACTTGATGCCCAGATCGATGTGTTCCTGAATGCCGAAACCGAAGTTGCCGGTGGAGGAGAAGTTGTCGCGTCTCAGCTCGTACTCGCGCACTTTCAGACCACGCTCCAAAATCTCTTCAGCCTTGGCACCGCGCACCGTGCAGTGGACAGCGATCTTCTCATTACGACGAATGCCAAAGGAACGAACTGTGTAGCGGGCCTTGGAGAACACTGGCTGCTGGCCAGTCAGCTGCTCCAGCACCTATGTTTGAAGACAGCTTTTAGTTTATTTGAACAGACAACAACAGTCTTGTGTGCACAAAACAATAGTTACCTTAGCGGCACGGGTCAGCCTATCACCGGATTCACCAACACAGATGTTCAAGCACAGCTTCCTGATGTGCAAGTCCCGCATCGGGTTCTTCGCCGGGTCGCGCTTAATTTTAGGTTCCTTCTTAGCAACGGCCTGAAACAATCATTGAATTCTGTTACTTGGGAGCCATAACCGCATTAAATATAGCTTCGGGTGGCATATCGCAGACGTCCACATAGTTTTAACAGTTATACTTTTCACAAATATAGTCAAATATTGGCCGATGCGGGGCAATTTACATTCCACCAAAAATTTGTATAAACCTACCGCCATTATGGTGTATCGGAAAGAAAGGAAGGAAGTTACGGTTCAGTGTGATCTAGAGACAATACAGAGCTGCAAAACCATCGATATAACAATCGATAAGAAAGTTGGACACTATCGATGTCTTTTCCCCAAAATTTGTTTAAAATTCGAACGATTCGTTGACTTTGGCGCTAATTTGCGGATTTGATAATTGTTTAAATTAGTTCTGCAATAATGTGCAATTGGTGGAAATGGATACATTTTCATATATATATTCGTCGACCGAATCAGATTCGTGAGATGTTACGGTTCAGTGTCATCTGGACCTATCGATAAGATATACCGTCTGACACCTAGAAATATACCGAAATATACCATACCATTTTGAAAATATACCGAAACCGTACCGGGAGAAATCATATTCCTCAATTTTGATTTTCGATTTAATATAACAAGCTAGTTAAGACTCTGGACTCAAAGCGTATACTTTTATCGGCATGATGAATACATTCTCTAAAAGATTTTTTGATACTAGGGACTTCCTTTTATTGGATTACCTATATAATAAGGTTTAAACAAAGAAGGTAAACAAAAATGTCCCTTTTCTACTTGGTAACTACATATTTGACATATCAACGACTTATTTGAGTATGGCGCTTTGTATACCCAATTTCCTATCAATAATGTTAAATTTGTTTTGTTCTGTCATGCTTACGGCTACGGTCAGAGTGACCGTGACGATAAAAAATACCATCCGGCCATAAAAATAAATTCCATTAAATACGATTTCAGTTTCGAGAAATACCATTTAAATAGCATACAATAAAAATCCAGAGCAGTCCGGCGATCAAACGAGACTTAACCCACTTAACACCCCTATATTTGAAAAGTTGAGCACCCTTTGTTAAACCGCTGAAAATAATAATGTTTGTAAAGGCTCCTTGTAGCTCCATCCTCCTCTTTACTTACAAAACAAAAATGACCACCGACATCTTTCACCTGTAATTCGTATAATATGTTAAAGTTACATAAATTTCATGGAAATATTAAATACCCCTCTGGTCAACAATGGGATAACGTTCTATTTTATTAATTGAATTCGTATTCCATGATTTTTATATTCAGTTTAATATTAATAGCTAGTTCGCGCTTTTAGCCGTTAACGAATAAGTTTATTCTATGCGTATGGGCTTTTTTATACCTTATTTCTTTTAATTGATGTTAAATGTTTAGTTCCAAGCTCCATTGAAACATTGTTTATGATTTTATCCTAGATTGACATGTTTTTTACCTATTATATATACATATATACATTTATACCGGTTCTGATACCAATTATTGGTACCCGCAAGCTGCAAAATTTCGTTATAATTTTTAATCTGAGATACCAGGCGAACAGAAATTAGCAGAAGGTTGCTAGTTTTTTTAATTTCTCGTTTTTTCTTGGTTCTCTTTGTATTTCGTTGCTCTCTTTTTTCGATCTAACTTCTCTCATTTTCTGCCTCCACTTTCCACCGCTCAAATGGCAGAAAACCGTTAAATTCAAATCTGAGATACCAGGCGAACAGAAATCAGCTGAAGGTCGCTGGTTTTTTTAATTTCTCGTTTTTTCTTGGTTCTCTTTGTATGTCGTTGCTCTCTTTTTTCGATATAATTTCTCTCATTTTCTGCCTCCACTTTCCACCGCTCAAATGGCAGAAAACCGTTAAATTAAAATCTGAGATACCAGGCGAACAGAAATCAGCAGAAGGTCGCTGGTTTTTTTAATTTCTCGTTTTTTCTTGGTTCTCTTTGTATTTCGTTGCTCTCTTTTTTCGATATAATTTCTCTCATTTTCTGCCTCCACTTTCCACCGCTCAAATGGCAGAAAACCGTTAAATTCAAATCTGAGATACCAGGCGAACAGAAATCAGCTGAAGGTCGCTGGTTTTTTTAATTTCTCGTTTTTTCTTGGTTCTCTTTGTATGTCGTTGCTCTCTTTTTTCGATCTAATTTCTCTCATTTTCTGCCTCCACTTTCCACCGCTCAAATGGCAGAAAACCGTTAAATTCAAATCTGAGATACCAGGCGAACAGAAATCAGCAGAAGGTCGCTGGTTTTTTTAATTTCTCGTTTTTTCTTGGTTCTCTTTGTATTTCGTTGCTCTCTTTTTTCGATATAATTTCTCTCATTTTCTGCCTCCACTTTCCACCGCTCAAATGGCAGAAAACCGTTAAATTCAAATCTGAGATACCATGCGCACAGAAATCAGCAGAAGGTCGCTGCTTTTTTTAAATTCTTGTTTTTTCTTGTTTCTCTTTGTTTCTTGTTGCTCTCTCTTTTCGCTACAATTTTTCTCATTTTCTGCCTCCACTTTCCACCGCTCAAATGGCAGAAAACCGTTAAATTCAAATCTGAGATACCAGGCGCACAGAAATCAGCAGAAGGTCGCTGCTTTTTTTAAATTCTTGTTTTTTCTTGCTTCTCTTTGTTTCTCGTTGCTCTCTCTTTTCGCTATTTTCCACCGCTCAAATGGCAGAAAACCGTTAAATTCAAATCTGAGATACCAGGCACACAGAAACCAGCAGAAGGTCGCTGCTTTTTTTAAATTCTTGTTTTTTCTTGCTTCTCTTTGTTTCTCGTTGCTCTCTCTTTTCGCTACAATTTTTCTCATTTTCTGCCTCCACTTTCCACCGCTCAAATGGCAGAAAACCGTTAAATTCAAATCTGAGATACCAGGCACACAGAAACCAGCAGAAGGTCGCTGCTTTTTTTAAATTCTTGTTTTTTCTTGCTTCTCTTTGTTTCTCGTTGCTCTCTCTTTTCGCTACAATTTTTCTCATTTTCTGCCTCCACTTTCCACCGCTCAAATGGCAGAAAACCGTTAAATTCAAATCTGAGATACCAGGCACACAGAAACCAGCAGAAGGTCGCTGCTTTTTTTAATTTCTCGTTTTTTCTTGTTTCTCTTTGTTTCTCGTTGCTCTCTCTTTTCGCTCTAATTTTTCTCATTTTCTGCCTCCACTTTCCACCGCTCAAATGGCAGAAAACCGTTAAATTCAAATCTGAGATACCAGGCGCACAGAAATCAGCAGAAGGTCGCTGGTTTTTTTAATTTCTCGTTTTTTCTTGTTTCTCTTTGTATACTCGTTGCTCTCTTTTTTCGATCTATTTTTCTCATTTTCTGCCTCCACTTTCCACCGCTCAAATTGCAGAAAACCGTTAAATTCAAATCTGAGATACCAGGCGCACAGAAATCAGCAGAAGGTCGCTGCTTTTTTTTAATTCTCGTTTTTTCTTGTTTATCTTTGTTTCTCGTTGTTCTCTCTTTTCGCTACAATTTTTCTCATTTTCAGCCTCCACTTTCCACCGCTCAAATGGCAGAAAACCGTTAAATTCAAATCTGAGATACCAGGCGAACAGAAATCAGCAGAAGGTCGCTGGTTTTTTTAAATTCTCGTTTTTTCTTGTTTCTCTTTGTATTTCGTTGAAAATTTTTGCCTCCACTTTCCACCGCTCAAATGGCAGAAAACCGTTAAATTCAAATCTGAGATACCAGGCGCACAGACAGCAGAAGGTCGCTGCTTTTTTTAAATTCTTGTTTTTTCTTGCTCTTTCTCTTTCTTTTTCTCTTCTGCCTATTTTCCACCGCTCAAATGGCAGAAAACCGTTAAATTCAAATCTGAGATACCAGGCACACAGAAACAGCAGAAGGTCGCTGCTTTTTTTCGTTTTTTCTTGTTCTCTTTGTTTCTCGTTCTCTCTCTTTTCGCTAAAATTTTTCTCATTTTCTGCCTCCACTTTCCACCGCTCAAATGGCAGAAAACCGTTAAATTCAAATCTGAGATCCAGGCCAACCAGCAGAAGGTCGCTTTTTTTAATTTCTCGTTTTTTCTTGTTTCTCTTTGTTTCTCGTTGCTCTCTCTTTTCGCTCTAATTTTTCTCATTTTCTGCCTCCACTTTCCACCGCTCAAATGGCAGAAAACCGTTAAATTCAAATCTGAGATACCAGGCACACAGAAACCAGCAGAAGGTCGCTGCTTTTTTTTGCTTCTCGTTTTTTTTTGTTTCTCTTTGTTTCTCGTTGCTCTCTCTTTTCGCTCTAATTTTTCTCATTTTCTGCCTCCACTTTCCACCGCTCAAATGGCAGAAAACCGTTAAATTCAAATCTGAGATACCAGGCGCACAGAAATCAGCAGAAGGTCGCTGCTTTTTTTAAATTCTCGTTTTTTCTTGGTTCTCTTTGTATTTCGTTGCTCTCTTTTTTCGATCTAATTTCTCTCATTTTCAGCCTCCACTTTCCACCGCTCAAATGGCAGAAAACCGTTAAATTCAAATCTGAGATACCAGGCGCACAGAAATCAGCAGAAGGTCGCTGGTTTTTTTTAATTTCTCGTTTTTTCTTGTTTCTCTTTGTTTCTCGTTGCTCTCTCTTTTCGCTCTAATTTTTCTCATTTTCTGCCTCCACTTTCCACCGCTCAAATGGCAGAAAACCGTTAAATTCAAATCTGAGATACCAGGCACACAGAAACCAGCAGAAGGTCGCTGCTTTTTTTCGTTTTTTCTTGCTTCTCTTTGTTTCTCGTTGCTCTCTCTTTTCGCTACAATTTTTCTCATTTTCTGCCTCCACTTTCCACCGCTCAAATGGCAGAAAACCGTTAAATTCAAATCTGAGATCCCAGGCACAGAAACAGAGAGGCGCTCTTTTTTTTCTTTTTTTTCTTCTCTTGTTTCTCGTTGCTCTCTCTTTTCGCTATTTTTCTCATTTCCGCCTCCACTTTCCACCGCCAATGAGAAAACTAAATTCAAATCTGAGAACCAGGGCACAGAAATCAGCAGAAGGTCGCTGGTTTTTTTAATTTCTCGTTTTTTCTTGTTTCTCTTTGTTTCTCGTTGCCTCTTTTTTCGCTCTAATTTTTCTCATTTTCTGCCTCCACTTTCCACCTATGGCAGAAACCGACATTGTGGACAGGCGCACAAAAGAGCAGAAGGTCGCTGCTTTTTTTAAATTCTCGTTTTTCTTGTTCTCTTTGTTTTCGTTCCTCTCTCTTTTCCTAATTTCTCTCATTTTCAGCCTCCACCTTCCACCGCTCAATGGCGGAAACTCAAATCTGAATTACCAGGGCGCAGAAATCGGCAGAAGGTCGCTGTTTTTTTTAATTTCTCGTTTTTTTTGTTTCTCTTTGTTTTCTTCTCTCTCTTTCGCTCTAATTTTTCTAATTTTCAGCCTCCACTTTCCACCGCTCAAATGGCAGAAAACCGTTAAATTCAAATCTGAGATACCAGAACGAAAACAAAAGGTCACTTTTTTTTATCTCGTTTTTCTTGTTTCTCTTTGTATTTCGTTGCTCTTTCTTTCGTCTAATTTTTCTCATTTTCTGCCTCCACTTTCCAACGCTGAATGGGCAGAAAACCTAATTAAATCGAAGGAGAGCAATGAAATACAAGGACAGAAAACGGGTCCCAGCGACCCTTTGGGTTCGGGTGGGGGGAAATTGAAAATTAGAGCGAGGGAAGAAAGCGAAGAGAATTTAAAAAAAGCAGCGACCTTCTGCTGATGTCGCCTGGTCTCCATTTGAATTTACGGTTTCTCTTAGCGGGGGGGGGGGGGGCGCGGGGACCCACTGGGGGAAAGTGGAGGCAGAAAATTAGAAAAATTAGAGCGAAAGGAGAGAGCAATGAAATACAAAGAAAACAAGAAAAAAACGAGAATTTAAAAAAAGCAGCGACCTTCTGCTGATTTCTGTGCGCCTGGTATCTCAGATTTGAATTTAACGGTTTTCCTGTCATTTGAGCGGTGGAAAGTGGAGGCAGAAAATGAGAAAAATTAGAGCGAAAGGAGAGAGCAATGAAATACAAAGAGAAACAAGAAAAACGAGAATTTAAAAAAACCAGCGACCTTCTGCTGATTTCTGTGCGCCTGGTATCTCAGATTTGAATTTAACGGTTTTCTGCCATTTGAGCGGTGGAAAGTGGAGGCAGAAAATGAGAAAAATTAGAGCGAACGGAGAGAGCAATGAAATAGAAAGAGAAACAAGAAAAAAGAGAATTTAAAAAAAGCAGCGACCTTCTGCTGATTTCTGTGCGCCTGGTATCTCAGATTTGAATTTAACGGTTTTCTGCCATTTGAGCGGTGGAAAGTGGAGGCAGAAAATGAGAAAAATTGTAGCGAAAAGAGAGAGCAACGAGAAACAAAGAGAAACAAGAATAAACGAGAATTCAAAAAAAGCAGCGACCTTCTGCTGATTTCTGTGCGCCTGGATCGATTTGAACGGTTTTCGCCATTTAGCGGTGGAAAGGGGGGAAGAAAATGGCGGGAGGAAGAAAGAGAACGGAGATAAAAACAGCGACCTTCTGCGATTTCTGTGCGCCTGAATTTGATTAACGGTTTTCGCCATTTGAGCGTTGGAAGTGGAGGCAGAAAATGGAAATTAGGGGGCGAAAAAAAAGAGAAACAAGAAAACGAGAATAAAACAGCGACCTTCTGCTGATTTCTGTGCGCCTGGTATCTCAGATTTGAATTTAACGGTTTTCTGCCATTTGAGCGGTGGAAAGTGGAGGCAGAAAATGAGAAAAATTGTAGCGAAAGGGAGAGCAATGAAATACAAAGAGACAAGATAAAAACCAGCGACCTTCTGCGATTTCTGTGTGCCTGGATCTCAGATTTGAATTTAACGGCTTTCTGCCATTTGAGCGGGAAAGTGGAGGCAGAAAATTAGAAAAATTGTAGCGAAAGGAGAGAGCAACGAAATACAAAGAGAACCAAGAAAAAACGAGAAATTAAAAAAACCAGCGACCTTCTGCTGATTTCTGTTCGCCTGGTATCTCAGATTTGAATTTACCGGTTTCTGCCATTTGAGCGGTGGAAAGTGGAGGCAGAAAATGAGAAAATTAGATCGAAAAAAGAGAGCAACGAAAACAAAGAGAAACAAGAAAAAACGAGAAATTAAAAAAACCAGCGACCTTCTGCTAATTTCTGTGTGGCCTGGTATCTCAGATTTGAATTTAACGGTTTTCTGCCATTTGAGCGGTGGAAAGTGGAGGCAGAAAATGAGAGCAATTAGATCGAAAAATGATAGCAACGAAATACAAAGAGAACCAAGAAAAAACGAGAATTTAAAAAAAGCAGCGACCTTCTGCTGATTTCTGTGCGCCTGGTATCTCAGATTTGAATTTAACGGTTTTCTGCCATTTGAGGGGTGGAAAGTGGAGGCAGAAAATGAGAAAAATTAGAGCGAAAAGAGAGAGCAACGAGAAACAAAGAGAAACAAGAAAAAATGAGAATTAAAAAAAGAAGCGACCTTCTGCTGGTTTCTGTGCGCCTGGTATCTCAGATTTGAATTTAACGGTTTTCTGCCATTTGAGCGGTGGAAAGTGGAGGCAGAAAATGAGAAAAATTGTAGCGAAAAGAGAGAGCAACGAGAAACAAAGAGAAACAAGAAAAAACGAGAATTTAAAAAAACCAGCGACCTTCTGCTGATTTCTGTGCGCCTGGTATCTCAGATTTGAATTTAACGGTTTTCTGCCATTTGAGCGGTGGAAAGTGGAGGCAGAAAATTAGAAAAATTAGAGCGAAAGGAGAGAGCAATGAAATACAAAGAGAAACAAGAAAAAACGAGAATTTAAAAAAACCAGCGACCTTCTGCTGATTTCTGTGCGCCTGGTATCTCAGATTTGAATTCAACGGTTTTCTGCCATTTGAGCGGTGGAAAGTGGAGGCAGAAAATTAGAAAAATTAGAGCGAAAGGAGAGAGCAATGAAATACAAAGAGAAACAAGAAAAAACGAGAATTTAAAAAAAGCAGCGACCTTCTGCTGATTTCTGTGCGCCTGGTATCTCAGATTTGAATTTAACGGTTTTCTGTCATTTGAGCGGTGGAAAGTGGAGGCAGAAAATGAGAAAAATTAGAGCGAAAGGAGAGAGCAATGAAATACAAAGAGAAACAAGAAAAACGAGAATTTAAAAAAACCAGCGACCTTCTGCTGATTTCTGTGCGCCTGGTATCTCAGATTTGAATTTAACGGTTTTCTGCCATTTGAGCGGTGGAAAGTGGAGGCAGAAAATTAGAAAAATTAGAGCGAAAGGAGAGAGCAATGAAATACAAAGAGAAACAAGAAAAAACGAGAATTTAAAAAAAGCAGCGACCTTCTGCTGATTTCTGTACGCCTGGTATCTCAGATTTGAATTTAACGGTTTTCTGCCATTTGAGCGGTGGAAAGTGGAGGCAGAAAATGAGAAAAATTGTAGCGAAAAGAGAGAGCAACGAGAAACAAAGAGAAACAAGAAAAAACGAGAATTTAAAAAAAGCAGCGACCTTCTGCTGATTTCTGTGCGCCTGGTATCTCAGATTTGAATTCAACGGTTTTCTGCCATTTGAGCGGTGGAAAGTGGAGGCAGAAAATTAGAAAAATTAGAGCGAAAGGAGAGAGCAATGAAATACAAAGAGAAACAAGAAAAAACGAGAATTTAAAAAAAGCAGCGACCTTCTGCTGATTTCTGTGCGCCTGGTATCTCAGATTTGAATTTAACGGTTTTCTGTCATTTGAGCGGTGGAAAGTGGAGGCAGAAAATGAGAAAAATTAGAGCGAAAGGAGAGAGCAATGAAATACAAAGAGAAACAAGAAAAACGAGAATTTAAAAAAAACCAGCGACCTTCTGCTGATTTCTGTGCGCCTGGTATCTCAGATTTGAATTTAACGGTTTTCTGCCATTTGAGCGGTGGAAAGTGGAGGCAGAAAATTAGAAAAATTAGAGCGAAAGGAGAGAGCAATGAAATACAAAGAGAAACAAGAAAAAACGAGAATTTAAAAAAAGCAGCGACCTTCTGCTGATTTCTGTACGCCTGGTATCTCAGATTTGAATTTAACGGTTTTCTGCCATTTGAGCGGTGGAAAGTGGAGGCAGAAAATGAGAAAAATTGTAGCGAAAAGAGAGAGCAACGAGAAACAAAGAGAAACAAGAAAAAACGAGAATTTAAAAAAAGCAGCGACCTTCTGCTGATTTCTGTACGCCTGGTATCTCAGATTTGAATTTAACGGTTTTCTGCCATTTGAGCGGTGGAAAGTGGAGGCAGAAAATGAGAAAAATTAGAGCGAAAAGAGAGAGCAATGAAATACAAAGAGAAACAAGAAAAACGAGAATTTAAAAAAACCAGCGACCTTCTGCTGATTTCTGTGCGCCTGGTATCTCAGATTTGAATTTAACGGTTTTCTGCCATTTGAGCGTTGGAAAGTGGAGGCAGAAAATGAGAGAAATTAGATCGAAAAAAGAGAGCAACGAAATAAAAGAGAACCAAGAAAAAACGAGAAATTAAAAAAACAGCGACCTTCTGCTGATTTCTGTGCGCCTGGTATCTCAGATTTGAATTTAACGGTTTTCTGCCATTTGAGCGGTGGAAAGTGGAGGCAGAAAATGAGAAAAATTGTAGCGAAAGGAGAGAGCAATGAAATACAAAGAGAAACAAGAAAAAGGAGAATTTAAAAAAACCAGCGACCTTCTGCTGATTTCTGTGTGCCTGGTATCTCAGATTTGAATTTAACGGCTTTCTGCCATTTGAGCGGTGGAAAGTGGAGGCAGAAAATTAGAAAAATTGTAGCGAAAGGAGAGAGCAACGAAATACAAAGAGAACCAAGAAAAAACGAGAAATTAAAAAAACCAGCGACCTTCTGCTGATATCTGTTCGCTTGGTATCTCAGATTTGAATTTAACGGTTTTCTGCCATTTGAGCGGTGGAAAGTGGAGGCAGAAAATGAGAGAAATTAGATCGAAAAAAGAGAGCAACGAAATACAAAGAGAAACAAGAAAAGACCAGAAATTAAAAAAACCAGCGACCTTCTGCTGATTTCTGTTGTGGTATCTTCTGGTATCTCAGATTTGAATTTAACGGTTTTCTGCCATTTGAGCGTTGGAAAGTGGAGGCAGAAAATGAGAGAAATTAGATCGAAAAAAGAGAGCAACAAAATACAAAAAGAAACAAGAAAAGAGGAATAATTAAAAAAAAAAAAAACAGCGAACTTCTGCTGATTTCATTGTTTCCTTTCTAAAGTGAAGGTTATGTCACAATTTCACATCAGCCAACTGGGAGTTTCATACAAACCAGCTATTTCATACTAGCCAGTTTGGAGGATTAACAGAAGTAAATTCCTACTTGGAATCTTTGCAATAAATACTAAATATTTAATTGGACACTCACAAACATAAATATTAGTAAATCTCAGCCGGGCTTTGGCCCACACAAAAGTACCATAATAAATACAATGCATAATAACACATAAATAATACCCCCATACCCAAAACGTAGTACTTCGCGGCTTTAGGCTAAAAATGTATAGTCGAAGGCTACGGCTACGCCTCGCTCTTTTGTCGATTCTGCATGACCTGGCGCAGTTGCGGGAACGTGCTCTTCGTCTGTGCTGGATGAAGACGAGCACACAGAGATGTGAATGGCTCGTACAGTGAAGGACGCTCCATACCATTGACTGTGTAGTGCTTGATCCGCTCCCGCTGGCACCAGATGTTTGCCCGGTCCATAATCTTTTCGACGGGATTGGGCATTGCTGGTGTCGTGTCCCTTTTACCCCGGGCCCGCACATTGGCCAGTACAATGACGGGGATTTCCTTCTTTTCCTTATGCTTGTCAATGTCTGTCTTAATGTCCGCCAGCATATCTAGGCTTCGTGGATCGATGGGGTCATAGACCAATACGAATGCGTCAGGGAATTGTAAGTAGTGCCGAGGCAATTGGGCCGCCTGCTCGCCCTGCAGTCCAGCCGTGTCGTAGATGCGTAGCGTCTCCCGAGCGCCTCCACGACCAGTGTCGACACTGGCAACATAGATGTCCTCAATGGTAGGATGGAGTTCCTGAAGCGAACAAAATTATGCTTAAATGAACGCCTTCGAATGTAAATATGTATGTGGTTTAGGTATTTAGCGTGGTAGGGGGTGTGGCAGCCGTAAATGGTTTGTATGCTGCCCCACTTAGGCTGTGATAAATCTTGTTTTGTTTACTCACTGTGTCCGGATTCAGGTTGCCATAAACCAACTGCTCAATTACTGTCGTCTTCCCCACGCCTTTCATGCCACATACCAACACTTTGCCCACTTTACCAATTTTCGCATTGAGCATTTCTTTTTTTTAGTTTTTTCTTTTTGGATTGTTGTCGTCGTCTTGTTTATATCAAATATCGATATGTATTGTTTTGTTGACAATATATTTGAAGGTGATAGTTTTTCGGAAGCTATCGGCGTTTGATTTCGAAAATATCAATATAGTAGCCGAGTGTGACTGTATTTTATGATGATAATTATAATGAGCAATGCAATCCTTGAAACATTGGATCTGCTTTAACAATGGAAGCGTTTATTTAGTTTTGTACCATTGTGTACGTTTGATTTGAAACTGTGCTGCAGCCCTGACATAAATCACGAATACTTTTGTGTATAGTAAAGTCGCGTTCATCGTACCATCAGTAATATCGATACACCTAATTGGATGTACATTGTACAAAGGTAAATAAATATTTATTGCAGCCTCAATTCGCTGTATTTGCGAATTTGTATTTTAAACGTGAGTTGTTGGGGCAGTCGGCCCTGCAGAGCGAGAAACCATGCATGAGGATGACTTGAAAAATCAATTAACGATTGCGCGGAATGAGATTAACAATTTGAGGTGCGTGCAAGTCTTCCTATTCTTGTTGTTAAAAATCGAGTTTATCAGCGATTGATTAACTTGAATACGCAGGCAGCAAGTGCGGAATCTACAGCATGTGCAGCGCAAGGACATCGAAACAATAACCCGCCTGCTAGAGGACTTTCGATGCGAAGGCTGTTCGAGCAAGCAGAATGCCAAGGCCAAGGACGTCACTGCCAATGACAAGGCGGAGGCGGCGCCCGGGCTTCAGGGTCAGGTGCGTCTGACCATCAAACACATAATACACACACAATTTAAACCAATGCTAAACCGTAGGACGTGAATGGCAGTGGCACCAGCAACAGCAACGAGGAGTCTGCTCACTTTCGTCCGATTGGCATAATACGAACAGCCTTTCCGGAGAAGCGCGCCGTGCCGAGGCAATCGATTGTGGGCAGCCGCCTACGTAGCCTTATACAGCTAAACGATGGAGTCTTTACCAACCCGGAGCACTCGCTGGAGGGACTGTCTGACTTCTCACACCTGTGGCTGATTTACCACTTCCATCGGAACAATGCCCATCCAAAGGCCAAAGTGGCACCCCCGCGACTATGCGGGGAACGAGTTGGAGTTTTCTCCACCCGCTCGCCCCATCGGCCGTGTCCCATCGGCCTGTCGTTGGTGGAAATTGAGAAAATTGAAAATGCTACCATCAGTTTCTTTGGTACGGACATGGTGGATGGAACACCTGTGCTGGACATCAAACCGTACATTCCATACTACGATGCGCCAGCCTTGAGCACCGACTCAGGTATGTGTGGCGCATGCGAACCTGTACAGTCAATCAAAGATTTTGGCCTCGTGGCAGGTCGAGCCTCTGCTGGTCCGAATGAAACCAGCCTGGACTTTTACGACTCCCGTCAGGAGCCCGACGGAGAGGAGTCCGATCTGGAGCTATACGGTGCCGCCGGATATGCGGTCAACAACATCAGCGCCGATGCGATTTTGCCACCACCGAGCGCCGTACGCGTCCCCAACTGGGTGGTGGCCAGCCATCGGCTGAGCGTTTGTTTTAACGAGAACGCCGAGGCCCAGCTAAAAGAGTTGCAGGTCGAAAAACAGTGCATCGTGGAAATCTTGGAGGCGGATCCGCGTTCAGTGTACCTGCGCACAAAATACGGCTCTCAGATCTTCACTTTCCAGCTAAGTGAGGTCACCGTGACGTGCAAGTTCGATGACAAGGCCGCCACGGTGACTGTTGTGCAGGTTCGACGCAATGAGAATGTGCAAGTGGTCGCACTGGACGGCGATCAGCGCAGTGCTTAATTTATAGTTGTTTTCTCGGATGGCTTTGCAGGGCAGGAGATATGTGTTTAGCTTAAGTATTCCGTGTTTAGGAGCTTTGACGTTTCGATTTTGCTGTAGGACTCAAGACATTCTAAAATATATTTATGCTGCTTGTTTCTGAAGAAAAAACATTTGCTTTTTAATATTATTCATTAAGGGCGGAGGCAGTCCACTGTACTTTTGAGTATTATGCATAATTAAAAATAACTTTCTTTCAGCACAAAAATGAGCGAAATGTCCTGGAAGGACTTCTTGAGCCAGGCCCAAGAGTTTCTCAAAATGTCCGAGCAGTTGGGTGATGGCTGGGTCCTACATGAGAAGGTATTTCGAAATCTCACATTATTGTATCATTAAATATTAAAAATGATCTCCCTTTTAGGACGCCAGTGAGCCCAACACGTTCCTCAAGTACAGCCACAAGATTAAATGTAAAGAGTCCAAAGATGGGGATTTGAGTCTCATCAATGTGGAGTATCACATAGTCTATAGTGTGTCGTACCAAGTGCCCATGCTATTCTTCCAGGCACATCGATCAGGTATTATGATCAAATAATCAAATGATGTATCCACTTCAAGATCTAATTCCAGACGGAAGTCTTCTGGACTTGGAGGCCACTTGGCGTGTCTTTATGCCAGAGACGGCTTCCAAAGATCTCTATCAGATGCTCACCCAAGCGGACCATCCTGTGCTGTCTCGTCCGTTCATGGCCCTGCATCCGTGTCGCACAGCGCAAGTGCTCGATCAGTTTGGACAGCCGAGTGCCAACCGTGTGCTCACCTTCATCAGCCTCTACGGACCGCACGTGCAGCTGCTACTGGCGAATGCCTATGGACTGAACAAATGAAAAGAATGCCCGGAACTACATACATGTGTGGATAATTCGTATTTATTTGTGGTTGTTTTAAACATTGATTACAGGAGTATACATATGTGGATATTAAGATGCTTTTGGGGAGAGGGGACCTCTATGTTACAGTTTTACATTCGATTCGCTACATTTTATACGGTTTGACCTTTTCATTGAATATGCTACATATATTAGAGGGCATTCCAGTGCCGCTTCCCTACTAGAACTTGGCACAAGTGAACATCCAAATTGTAAAGTAAATAGGGGGGAACAACTAACTATATCTCGGGTTAAAGTTGTACATATACATATGTATGTATGTTGCACTGATACATCTACATTTGTCAAGCTTAAATCAAGCACTGCAAAACGGAACAAAGATAATATGTAGCGTACTATGTAGTTAACAAGTTCCACTTGTCCATTCGGTTATTTTCATTCGTAATATCAGATAAATGTTGCATATTTTCGATCATTTCGATCTGTATGTATATCTAGAGCTAAGCATAGATAGGTATGTATATGTGTATGTATGTATATATCCTTAGGTCTAATTGTACTGTACACAAGCTAGACCATACTCGCTGTGGAGAGGCTATGCTTCGGTTCCCTAATGTTAGGTTTTTCATTTATAATTAATGTTAACTGGCTACTGTGTGGCATTTGCTGATCCTCAACGCCAAAGCACGAGAGGCCACGTCTTTCGACGCGACTTCGGCTCCATGGGCGCGAGGGCATCGCATTGAAAATGTTTTTTTTGCAAAATTAAATAGATTTATATGCATATATTTACTTTGTTTCTGCACTTGTAATCCAACGAAATACATGCAATACACGTACACGTACACATACATACATTGATAAGAGTATAACTGCTATTGACTGATTGCGGGTCTGTTTAGTGCGGCACTTGCAACAAAAGATTCGAAGACAGTTGGAAGCTGTGGACAGGCATGTTTCGGGAGAGAGAGGAGTGATCAAGGGCATCGCATCAAAACCTTTCGAGTGGAAGAGTTACCGCTGTCAACGCTATACAATTCTCCTCACGGTATCAGCATTTAGCTAGTTGAAAAAAAAATAAAATATAAATATTAGATATAGTTCTCAAAATTATTTACATATATGTTACATACTTTTTTAGGGCCTATTGGACTGCTGATCCTCTCTCGCCGAGTGCCTTAAATTGATCCCCAGCACCTTAATCTATGGAATATAGAATATCTATATCTATTTCGTGCCGCATCAAATATTTTTACAACTTAAAATTTTCAGAATCTAATCTGGGCTTGCAATATTTACTGAGGTGCTTCTATATTCATTTACTACGAGTACATGTGTATATTCGTATATTTCTGCGATAACTATGCATACTTGGAATGTTTTCTGTTCTGAATTTATTGGGATACAATTGTGGATGTTGTTGGCCTATTTCTGACTTATCTAAGAGTATTGTATTTAGCATTAGCACATGTAGTATATATGATTATATGAAGTATTATATCTCGTCTGTTCTTTGTTCTCATCTCGATATATATACTCTTATATAAAAATTCATTTAAAGCTTCACCATTTAATTGATATTTGTATATCAAATTACATTTCTTTAATATAGTTCTATATACAGTAAAACAAGATAAAGTAAAATTCAGAAATTTGCCCCACAGTGGTGGATGCGGAAATACGCGACAGATCATGATATGTTTCATTTTGCGGATCGTAATCCGATCCAACACCCACCCTCTGCAGGGGCAGTCCTCTAATGATGACGGAATAAATTACTTAAGTCTAGGTATACGATATATGTATCTGCCTAGTCTAGGCTTAAAATTCGCACTACACTGCTGCTTCTTGCTGTTTCTCTTTGTTCTACTTGCAGTTTGTTTTGTTTTGTTTTGTTCTGTTTTGTTGTTGGTTGTTGGTCTCATTTCAGTTGCGTTATTGGACAAGTTTTCGTAATCGTTTTTTAAAGTGGTCTTAAAATATGGTGTAATAAATATGTATATGTATAGTATATGTATGTATGTAAAGCATGTGTATGCATTATACATCTAAAGCCTTCACATGGTTAACACTGACGCGTATTTATGTATATTGGGGTTTTGGGGTTGGGGGCTCTTCCGATCCCCGTCTGGTATTTACACGGATCCCATCGGAGTGGAATGGATTCGACTCGTTTTGTATATTTGGCTACACTAAGACTAGTTGTAAAGCTCTGCAACTCACTCGACATATAAATACAATACATCATAAGCACATCTATCTGTATATAGAATGAAACAAAATTCAAGTAAACCTCATCGAGACGAGCCGTTGCTATCTGGGGGCTAAAGCTATGTATGCTAGGCTATGTTATGGACGGTGGTGCTCCTAGTAACGATCCGAAATTCATCGTCATCCAGCTCATCGGCTGACTCGGTGGCCTGTCGGCCCATAAAGTCGGTCGATGCGCTGCGCCTGAATCAGCTGCACAGCATATTGAAGAAGCCGCGTCCTTTCTCCGATCTGGGGGCCATCAGCATGGGCACCTGGTTCTTGTGGGTCACCTTGATCTACGAGGAAAGAAAGATCAATATCATTGGGATCTGGGTTCAACGTCCGCTCTTACCGTGCAGGGCATCTGCATCCAGGGCTCGCCGTCGATCTGCATAGGAAAGGTCTTTTTCGTCTTGATTATGACCTCACTGCACTGCGCCAGACGGCGACCGGAGGCGCGCAGACCCGTCCGCACCTGGCCCATATGCAGGCAGTTCTCCAGGCCGATCACTTCGATCAGGCGATCACCGATATCTGCAGTAGACACGCGCTAGAGATGCTCGAAACAATGGTATCGAATATGCCCACTCACCCTGAATAGCCACCGAGAGATCCACGGAGTTGAAGCTGGTGGCAGAGAACTCTTTGTCGCTGGACTTGAGCTTCTTGCTTTTGCCAAAGGGACCGGCGCTCTTGCGCATCCGCTTCTGGGACAGGTGCTCGCCCCATAGGTTGGAGCCACCATGGGTGTAGGGGATATTGAGCAGGGCCACTCCCTGCAGGTGGGGGCCGTTGGCAAGGTCCAAGGCCACACCGTCACACTGTAAATATTGAGTGAATGTTGAGCGCTTCCTTTTCACTGGTAATCCATTTATAATTCAGAAGGAGGAAAATTCAATCGAACAACCCTTCAGATATCCCCTGCCAATGCTCCCCGCCACTCACCACAATCTCGATGCTCTCGTGGAGATTCTTGCAGGATGCTGCAAACGTCTCGGACGTTGCATATTCGAAGTACCAAAGTTTGTTCTTCATCCGGCTGTTGAATTTGTGCGGATTCTTCTCCCGCTCCAAATGAAACTTGACGCAGATGGCGGCATCCTGTGGAAATACAATCAGCATTGGAATGGGCTCAGCCAAAAGGTCAGCATCGAATCGATATTCATGGTCACGTTCTGCGATTGCATAGGCAAAGTTCGCAATCTTTCCCGCAGAACCAATTAGATGGACGCATCTTCAACGACAACCAAGTGCAGGGGCCATCTATTCAATAAAATATAAATATTTCCTCCCCAAAATAGTAGCAAAATGTACGTCGATGCATCTTCCTCTAGGTATTAGAAATTTCCGCTAAGGAATCTGGCGAATTTCAGCTCAAGGAAACAAGCTGACAAGAAAAATGCTAATAATTTCTCCCGTAGAAAAGCAAAACATTTATGGGAAAAGGGATAGATATAAAAGGGCCGGATCAGGCTTCACAAATCGAATATATATGTATTTGAGAAGCTTAAAGTTCGAACAGAGATGGTTGAAGGTAAGTTTGCTCAAGGCATCACTAGCGACAGCAGAGCGTGTACGAGCGTACTTCATGCTGAGCCACGTGAAGGGGTGCAAAAGGTGGATGTTTACTTTACGCAACAGCAGGTGGCATGCTGCAAACGGGAGCTTCATGGAGATGCAGGTCTGCCTCTTATCGGACAGCATCCAAAAAGGGTTTCAGCATTTTAATTGCATATATTCCGTTGCGTGTCCGACTTACGCCCGGTTACGCATACGTCACGTTGCACCTTCGGTAGGCCCATTTTTTATTCATGTCAAAGTACGAGTACACAGGGCTCTCTGTTCAGGGCCTTGGTGGAGCCTGGCTTTCAATTATGGTCTGTTGCTTTCACAGCAAATAAGATTTATTACCGCTCCAGTGCAAATTAAATTGTCAACATGAGCGGGCACGCGTCTGCCTGTCCGGACACGCTGCAAACTGAAAAATCGACGAAAACTTTTTAATTAGCTTGCACAGCCACCCCCCTCCCTCCAAAACTGTCACTTTCCGCTTCATGCACGGCCAGGGTGGTAAACTAATTTAGTGACAGCCCCAGCTTATTAGCATGCCTCGACCGCACTATACCTATTAGTCAGGCAAGAGCCAAGGCAAGAGGAGAAGGCGGGTGGGGTGGACGCAACGGGCAGGCAATGACAGCTTGTTTGCATTTGGGGGTCGCCTTCGGCAAAGTTTGGCACAAATTTTGATTGGCTCTAAGTGAGCTGAGTTCGAGGGCGTGGTGGGGCGGGGTGGCGTGTGATAATGAAATAATTTGTAAACTCAAACTGGAATATCTTGCAGCTAAGGCAGGGGCCCTAAAATCCCCCCAAAGCCTTGGGATGGCGCCGCTACTTAAAAGATATACAGGGAGGTGAGCATAGTGCCCCATAAAATGCACATCAAGCCCGTTATCTCTAACCGGGAGACATAAAACTCGGGCTCAAGTCAAAGTCACAGCCATTACATATGCTGTGTTGTATTCTGCATTCTGCCTGCCTTGGGGACTGTTCCAGGAGGCTTCTGCAGCGCTGTCAGCTTCATTTCGTTCCCATTCCACACCATCCTTCCACGTTCTTTTGCCCGCTTTTATCATCAACTCAACGCACAAGTCTGCGCTCAACGTCAATTGTTTGACGTTAAACCAAAGAGTCAGCGTGAAATACTTTTCATTCTGTATTACCCCATGGCAGGAAGTAAGAGGATGATGTATGGGAGGGATTCCACTCCCCCAAGGAAGCTCTCCCTGTGCGACTTTGGCCACTTGTGTGGGGCACACAACACTCCTCCTAGACGAGACAGACACATGTACCCGCACAGATACATAAGTGTTAAATGGATTTCGTGATGGGAGCGGGCTGACTATCTGGTCGGGTCTGACAAGTGAGATCCCAACAGGCACTACAGCACCAGCAATAACATCATTGCCGACAGTTTGCTGTAGACGCCTACTGTTTAAACAGACGCACATCAAGTCATAAATAAACTAACACCCACACTTTGATGGGGTTTTTATTTCGGTTTTTGGTGCGGATTTTGTGGGATCTTCACGACATGGCACGGCACAGCCCGGAGACAGTCAGGACAGGATAGCACAGGACAGGACAGGACAGGACAAGGCACGCAATTGTGGGGGAGCATTAGGCTGATTTCAGTTGCGCAAGGGAGCGCAAAATGTTTGCACAAAAAGGATTTCAGCCTTAGCCGCCACTTGACAAATGGTGTGACCTTACTGAGCATACACATACACACACACACACACAGAACAGACAGAACCCACCGAACCATATGGGGATTGAACGTATTTACACACTCGCCAAATACGGGTACACAGGCGGGACCACGTCTTGGCCGATTTGTACACACATTTCCGCCTTATTTGCCGTTCATTTCATTTCATTTTTGCCGTCGTTTTGCGGACAGGCTTCTCTGGCTCTAAATTTGTCACTTAACGCTGCTTTATGGCCGCCTTAAATCCTCCCCTGATAAACGAACTGCAGGCGAGTATCTCTGATTTTGTGGAATGCTCTTTCCTGCTCCTATTCCTGCCCTTTCATTTCTCGTATCATACTAAATTATTCAAAGACCTGCCCCTGATGTGAAACTTTGCAAACTTTTATCCTTTTTTCTTTTCTTTCCTCTCATTTCTATTTATTGCCTTCCCGGAGTATATCTGCGAGTGTGTGTGCGTGTGG